CAAGGTACTCAACATGCTGCCACTTAGTGCCATTGAGTTACGGCGCCATTCACTTACAGGAACGAGGCCCGGCAGCCTTGGACCTTCCTTCCCTTAGGCCTGACTACAAAACAGGTTGCCGCTCACTTGACCCAGATCACCCCATCCAGGGGGCACAAGGTACTCAACAGGGTGCCAAATAGTGCCATCGAGTTACGGGGCCATTCACTTACGGGAACGAGGCCCGGCAGCCTCGGACCTTCCTACCCTTAGGCCTGACTACAAAACAGGTCGCCGCTCACTTGACCCAGATCACCCCATCCAGGGGGCACAAGGTACTCAACAGGGTGCCAAATAGTGCCATAGAGTTACGGAGCCATTCACTTACAGGAACGAGGCCCGGCAGCCTCGGACCTTCCTACCCTTAGGCCTGACTACAAAACAGGTTGCCGCTCACTTGACCCAGATCACCCCATCCAGGGGGCACAAGGTACTCAACATGGTGCCAAATAGTGCCATAGAGTTACGGGGCCATTCACTTACAGGAACGAGGCCCGGCAGCCTCGGACCTTCCTACCCTTAGGCCTGACTACAAAACAGGTCGCCGCTCACTTGACCCAGATCACCCCATCCAGGGGGCACAAGGTACTCAACAGGGTGCCAAATAGTGCCATTGAGTTACGGGGCCATTCACTTACAGGAACAAGGCCCGGCAGCCTCGGACCTTCCTACCCTTAGGCCTGACTACAAAACAGGTCGCCGCTCACTTGACCCAGATCACCCCATCCAGGGGGCACAAGGTACTCAACAGGGTGCCAAATAGTGCCATCAAGTTACGGGGCCATTCACTTACAGGAACAAGGCCCGGCAGCCTCGGACCTTCCTACTCTTAGGCCTGACTACAAAACAGGTTGCCGCTCACTTGACCCAGATCACCCCATCCAAGGGGGCACAAGGTACTCAACAGGGTGCCACATAGTGCCATAGAGTTACGGGGCCATTCACTTACAGGAACAAGGCCTGGCAGCCTCGGACCTTCCGGGCCTGCACACCTGGATCTTGTAACTGACTTGCCCTGAAACTCTCCCACCCCATCATTCACCTTGTCAACTACCTTGCACCAACAGGACAAGCCCCTGGCGGTAGGTATGCTAATCGGACCATAGGCCAGCACCTCTGAGGCTCCCACGCCTTGATCCTGTAATTGACCCGAGCTGAAATTCTCACACCTTATCATTCACTGTGCAGAGCACCTGTCACCAAGGGGACAGGGTCCCTGGGCCAGATCCTTGCGCAACGCAATTCCTAATTGGACCACAGGCCCAGCACCTCCGAGGCTTCCTGTAACTGACCTGGCCCAAACATCTCCTACCCATAGCCCTGGCTCCTTCATGTGCTCCCTACCAGACACCACACAAGCTCTCACCACCATTTGCCCGCTCCAGGACATTTCAATGCAGGCCGGCAGGTAATGGACAGATGGGCTGCCAAAACAGAGAGAGAGAGAGAGAGAGAGAGAGAGAGAGAGAGAGAGAGAGAGAGAGAGAGAGAGAGAGAGGATCATTTGGCCCTCCTGGCACAGTGCCCATTCTTGATCTCTGGCCTGCCATCAAGTTCAGGTTTGCCATCTGCTACGGTCGGGTTGACCCTCTCCTCCTTCTGTGTGAGACGCGGAGAGTGACGGCCACTTCTGGCAACGCGGGCGTGTCTCCGCAAGTTGGAGCACACTCCGACGCAGCAGCTGAGATTACCATAAGTTGTGAATCGGACGCGGGCGCTAAGCACAGCCCGGTTAGCTCAGTCGGCAGAGCACCAGACTCTTAATCTGGTGGTCGTGGGTTCGAGCCCCACATTGGGCGCAGTATTTTTTTTGCGGCCGGCCAAGCTTGCTGACACCTCTGTCTGCAAGCGAGTCCGTCGGACGGGCGCCCGCAGACGGATTGGCCCAGCTGTTCCCAATCCGACCTGGCAACCGGGACTCGGGCTGCCTGGAAGCCTTGAGTGTGCGTCCACAGGGTGCCCGCTCTGGCCAGAGCGTTCAGCATCAGGAGGACCTGAAACTTGGGAAGGTCCCGCTCGGAGACCCCTCCAGGCTCGCATTCCGGGCCGGCAGAACGGCGCGGGAGACAATAGCTCTTGGAGCAATATTTTGGCGCTTCATATTGGTATGCCCAAGTCTGCCGTCAATACAACTGGCCGCGTGGCCCAATGGCAAGGCGTCTGACTACGACCTTCGCTTCTTCTTCCGAACTCCGAAGGAGGCGCGCCTAACTATCAGGAGATCGTGGGTTCGAGCCCCATCGTGGTCAAGCTTTTTTTGGAGGAGCCCGGGAGTCCGCCCGTAGGTCCGGGCGGCAGGCCAGGTTCCCGAAGAGCTCATTTTGCTCCGCGGAATGGCGGATCTTGTTGGTCTGCATGGGCTGAGCATGCCACTGCGTTTGCAAGACGGAAGGACAAGTGCGGATCCGTCGAGGCCACGGGGAGCGGCAACTTGAGAAGGTCGTCACGGACTCGCTCTTCCTGGCTCCCTGCGTCGCGCTTCCCTTACCCGTGACTGACAGCGAGGCCTAGCTAGCAAGCCCGACGAAAGGAGCGAGAATCGGTCTCGTGGAGCGCGCGCTCCGTGAGAATGAACGTCCAGCTTCAACCTTGCTCGTCGTTCCCGTGAAAGCCAGCTGTCTGTTGCTCGTTGAGCTCGCGTAGGTCAAAGCTGTGAGCAGATCGAGAGGATCCAAAGACGCAATGCTCGAGTCTGAGGCGGCAGTAAGGCCCGCCGGAGAAGCTACCACGGGTCGCGCCGGCGACCAGGCTCGCGGTTCTCGGCGTGCGTCTCGTGCGTTTGGCGGAGCGTGTCTAGCGAGGAGTAGGACAGGCCTCCTCCCGCGGACCGAGGCAAAGCTGGCTCACAGCGAGTCGAGGGCGTTCTCGTGCGACATGCTCGGGTGGGTGGGCGCTCAGGCCACTTGCGCTCGGCGCAAGCTGTTCCTCCCTCGCCCCACCGCGCTCGTAGCCGAGCCTCGAACGTGCGACCAAGGGAACTGCCGCGCCAAACCCACTTCAGACGGTGCCGCGCCGGACGAAGTCTGAACCTCGACTCGCGCCTCAGGTCGACCCGAGCAAAGCGACTTTCCACTCTCTGCACACGCGCGCGGTCTCTCTCTCTTGCAAGCAGACGCAACAGCAGAATCGCGACTGGAGAGAAGCGCCGAAAGGGCGTTTGGGGGTAACTCGACGACGACGACAGAAGGAGGTGGGGGTACAGAGGCGGGACTGCTGCAGATTACGACGACATGCGCGTGACCTTGTCGAGGACTGCGAGGCAGGGAGAGAGAGAGAGGGCGGTGAGCTCAGGAGGCGCATTCGGATCTCGTAGAAGAAGAGAGCGAGGGTGGACGGACCCTCGTCGTAGGCGACCTCGGACGAGTCGGTGCCCTGGATCTCCGAAGCGATGCCGACGAGCGAGCGACGGAGGGCGTCCTTGGACGAGGCGTACAGCATCTTGTCCTTGATCTTTGCCTCGTCCGGCGACCTGTGCGTGCTCGAGCGTCAGTACCCGGTACTCGAAAAGACGGCCGCCCAAAGAGAGAGAGAGGGCAGGAGACGCACCACGCGTAGAAGCAGAGCTTGTTCCGCTTGCCCTCGCCCTTCTCGTACTCAAAGTCGTACACGGCGTAGCGGGGCGAGTTGGGCGGGAGCGCGTCGAGGAACTCGTCGTACGACGACGACTCGGACTGCGAGTCGACGACGATCTCCTTGTTGTCGCCCGAGAGCTTGAAGACGATGAATTTGAGCTCTGCGACGCAGACGAGTGCGAGGCGGGAGGAGGACGCAAGAGGTCAGCACGCTGGTCGGAGAGGGACGACGAAGGGAGAGAGGAACGAGCCGACGCACTCTTGCCGAGCTTGAGCGACTGGTAGGCCTCGAGGCAGGTAGGGTGAACGGCGACACCGGAAGACTGCAGGCGGGTTCGAGGGACGAGGTCAGTACCGGCGCTATCACGCCCGCGAGGAGGTCGTCCGCCTGCTGCCCCGGTCCACCATCGCGTTAGAGCCTCGCACGCATGCTGGACACCGCCGAGCTCTGCTGCAGCATCGACGAGAAGGTGCCGAGTCCCGCACTGCGCCCGCCGAGGGCCGCTCGCCGCCCACACGGGCCGCCTCGGCCAGCCCGCCCAACGACCGACACGGCGCGATCCCAGCGAGGTGCACGCCTCCACTGCTCGCTCGCAGACCGCCCCAGAACGTTCCAACGCGCGAGGCGAGGCGCGTGCGGACGAGGTCCCTCGGCCAGAGAGCCGAGGCGGGATGAACGGGCGAGGTTTGATGACGAGGGGGAGGGGGACGAGGGCGCGGGCGAGGCGACGGGGGCCGTCTGGACAGGCGGGGAGGGTCGCGGACGGGTTTTCGGAAGTACGGTGGACACAGCGGGGCTCACCATGGTGCGGTAGGGCGGGTTGAGGGTGAAGGGGAGGAGCGAGGGGAGGAGGAGACGAGACGACGAGGTGCGACTCGACCGTGGCTCTCGCTCACTCTCCCTCGCAGCAAGGCACGCACGATGGCAGGACGCAGGATCACCGGCCTGCAGCGCCAAGTCTACCACTGCTACAAGCGCGCTCTCAAGCTCGTCGCCTCCAAACCCCTCGTGCGTCTCCCCCTCCTCTCTCCCCGACCAGCCCGAGCCAACTCGCCCTTCCCTCCCCTCCTCTCGCAGGAGAACCGCCCCGCCTGGTTCGCGTTCGTCGCTCACCAGTTCCGCCACCCGACCCTCGGCGGCGGCCTCAAGCGCAAGGACATCTCGGCGATCGAGCACCTCGTGCGGCGCGGCGACAAGATGCTCGAGACGTACGGCGCGCCCGGCGTCAAAAAGGTCGTCGTGCCCGACACGCACGAGTGGCCGCTCGGCTGGGTCGCAAAGGGCGGCAAGGAGGGCCTCCAGCGCTGAGCGATGTCGCCGCCGCCGCCGCCGCCGCCGTTGCCGCGCGAGCTGTTGCGCATCGACACCCGCTCGTCGTCTCGTCGGCCGGCCGCCCCGACTTGTGCGTGCTCTCCTCCCCTCGGTCGGCGACTTGCCGGGCACGCGCTGACCTTGTCGGGCCCCTCGCGCAGCCGCCGCTCGCCCCGCCGCCTCGACCCGGCTCTGGAGCTCTCGCCCGCCTCGCCATCGCGTCGGGTCGACGGAATGCGCCATTGCGACAGCAGCGGCCTTTCGACGACGACGCCAAGCCGAGCGGCACCGTCTCACGCGACGGCCGAGCCCCATTCCTTGCTGTAGCGCTCCCGCTCTCGAGCCGCTCCCGCCGGCGACGAGCCCTTGTCATACAACAGCGTTGCACGCACACGAATCTCTACACAGTCTAGTCCAAGAAGAGCATCGACTTGACCCACTCCTTCCTTCGCTTGTGCTTGTGTCGCCGGACGGCGCCGTGCGCCTCTTGCTCGAACGCCCTGAGCGCCGAGAACTGCGCGTGCGGGGGTGCGGGCGAGTCAGACGGCGTCGCACACCGAGAGAGAGAGGGACAGAGAGAGCGCGAGCGCACCTGTATGCCCTTCTGCCGCTTGGCCGCACGCTGCACGCCGAACCGACCCGCTCGAGCTGGCGGCGGCGGCAGTGGAGACGGGCCCGGCACGGCGAGCCCGCTCCCGAGCTTGCGCAGCATGCTCGCCAGCCCAGGGCCCTCGCACGCGAAAAAGTCGTGCTGCTTCGACTGGGCGAACGGCTCTTCCTCGTCGTCGTCGGGGTCATCGAGGCCGAGCGACGACGCCGAGGGCGAGGCTTCCTCGTCGCGCTGCGGCTCGGTGACGGCCTGCTCGTCGAGGGACGTCAGTATCGGCTTGTCACGGAGGGAGGAAGAGAGAGGGGACGCACGTCCGTGTCGCGCTTCTGGTCCTTGAACGACAGGCCCGGCTGGATGACGGCCTGCACGCACCTCGAGTGAGTCAGCCCTCGCTCACCTCGCCCGCCGCACGACGACAACGAGAACGTGGAGGAGCAGGGACGCACACAGTTCGACTCGCTCTGCATCGAGCGGAGCATGCAGATCGTGTTGTTCCTGCAGATCGGGCCCGAGCAGTCCTCGATCTTGCCGCCGCGCGACAGGCGCTCGTTGAACAGCTGGAACACGGTCCTGCTCGACAGGCGCACGCTCGTCAGTAAGCCTCGTCGCACGAGAGCGAGAGAAAGACGGGTCGGGGAGAGAGGCGAAGAGAGGCAGGGAGGGAGAGGGCGAGAGAGGAAGGCGAGAGAGAAGGAGAGGGACAGAGAGAAGGAGGGACGCACTCATTGCGCTCAAAGACCTCGGTGACGCGGTGCCAGAACGTGCCGTTGAGCGGCGCCGACGCCGGGATGGGCGGGTCGAGGTACGAGTTGTAGCTGTCGCGCGCCGAGTAGTACGGCTGCCACACGGGGTCGACCTGGTACTGCGGGTCCGAGCGGTTCGCTGCGAGGGAAGGAGGGAGGCAACGGGTCAGCTCAGGCAACGGTGGCAGGAGAGGGGGGACGAGGAAGCGAGAGAGGCGGGACGCACTGTAGTGCGGGACAAAGTCCATGACCTCGTACGTGTCGGGGTCGATGTCGTACACGCGAAAGACCGGGTTGCCGCTCGTCGGCGTCAGGGCGCCCGAGATAAAGGCGATGCCGTTGGCGTTGTCGGCCGTGCGGTTCTCGTAGTCCGGGTACGAGATCTCGAACTCGTCGACGTGGCTGTCGGCGGGGCACGAGTGAGTCAGGAGGTGCTCGCGAGGACAAGGATCGATGGGCGTACCTGTGTCCGTAGAAGTGGGCGGCGATCGTGTCGTGGTAGCGCTGGAAGATCTGGTTGGCGTAGTTGCTCTGGTCGCGCATGGCGTCGACCTTGCCGAACGGCATGTGCCCGACTGCGACGCACGACAGGCCGAGTCAGTCCCGGCGAGACGAGAAAGTGAGAGGAGGACGAAGTCGACGCACTGATCCAGGCTCGCTGTCCTGCGCGCTCGGCAAGGTCGAGCTCGTCGGCGAGCCACGAAAGGATGCCGTTCGGGTCCCAGATCGGCACGTCCGAGTCGTAGAGCCAGACTGTGAGAATTGGGCGAGTCAGTGAGGTTGTACATGGGTCGAGAGAGGACGAGGAGGCTCGAGAAGGCGCACAGTTCTGCTTGTACCTGCTCGAGCAAGTCGGTCAGTTTCTCGCACGCCCACTCGCCTCGAGACACGCAAAGAGAGAGGAGGGGACGCACCAGTAGTTGGTGTTGAGCGAGATGATCTTGAGGTCGGTGCCCGGGTGCACGCGCGAGTAGCACCCGCTCGTCTCGCGCACCTGCCGAGCCGCACGCCTCCCGATCCACTTCTCCCAGTCACGCGCCGCGAGGTCAAACACCCAGTCGGACGCCGAGGATTGCGGCGAGGTTGAGCGCGGGAAGGCGTTGACCGGCGCGACGTCGCTGCGGGCGAGGAGGACCGGGACCGAAATCAGGGAGGGTTCGGCGACGCTGAGCGTGTGAGGGGAACGCACTGGTTGCCGATGACGGGGTACGAGACGGGCTGCATGTCGGCGTGCCACGCCTCCATGTCGGACGTGACGAGCTGCGGGCGCGACCGAGAAAGTCAGGACGATCGAGGCTCGGGGGCGGAAGAGAGGGACGCACCGGTTGGTCGACAGCCCACACGGCGCTCTCGACGACGTCGCCGGTAAAGATCGAGAACGTGTTGTTGGGCACGAAGCTGCGGGAAAGAGGCACGTCAGTACGCGACGAGGGAGGGGGGCTGCGGGACGAGGACGCGCTGGTCGATGGCGCGAAACATGCTCTCGACGAGGGCGCTCGGCGCGTCGCACTGCGGGAGAGGCAAGGTCAGACAAGACTAGGGGTAGCGGCGACAAGGCGAGGGCGCACCTTCTTGTGGCCGAACTGCAGGGCGGAACGGCAGAGTCAGCTCGGGACGGGCAAGGGGGGACGAGGGCAGGTGGACGCACAGGTCCTGCGGGGTGCTTGACGTCGTCGCCGAGGGAACCAGGGCCATAGTTGCGGCAGCAGATGACCTTTGAGCAGTCGGTGGTGGCGCCAGGCTGTCCTCGGGAGGAGGTGAGTCAGTGCGAGGTCTCGAGGGGACGGGAAGTGGACGAGGGACGCACAGCGTAGCTGCGGTCGACGTGCACGTCGCTGATGTGGACGATCTGGAACGGCTTGCGGCCCTTGGACACCCAGCGCTTCTTGACGCGCGGCGTGCGGCCGAGCTTGAGGGCCTCGAGCGCGGCCGGGTGGTCGGCGGCCTCGAGCGGCGCGGCCGTGAGGTTGACGGCGTGCGGGATCGTGTTGGGCAGCGGGCACAGGCCAAAAATGGTGGTGCAAAAGTTCTTGGCGGCGGGCGACGCGAGGCGGATCGAGCGCAGGTCGTGCGCGAGGATCGGGGCTTGGGTCCCGACGGCGCCGGCGCACACGTCGGCGTCCTCGATCTGCGGTCGTTGACGAGGTCAGTTGGCGACGAGGGAGTTGATGAAGTGAGAGAGAGGGACGCACGCCGAGCCGAGTGCAGAAGCCGACGAACAGGTCGACAAAGGCGTCGTCGCCGAGGTTGGCGAGGGCTTGAAGGGGCGCGAGGAGGCCGATGCAGGTCGCGCACGAGATGGCGGCCTCGACGTTGCCCATAAAGTCCTCGACAAAGCTCGCGTACACGCAGACCGCCAACAGGACGGCGATGCTGATGCACAAGAGGCGGGAGCGGACCTCGCCCGCCCAGCGTGCGCCGACAGGCCGCTTCTTGCTCGCGCGACGGGTCCGGCTCGACTCGTCGGCGGACGAGGACGGTGACGGCGAGGGCGACCTGCGGGCTGCTGCTGCTGCTGCGGTGCCGTACGACGCGAGGCTGCGGATGCTTCGGGGTCGAGAGGGTGCCGAGGTGGACGAGGGCGGCGAGCGGAGGAGCGGGGTGAGGGTGCGGCTTGAGCGGGTGCGGGTCGTGGCGGCCTCGAGGTCGTCGTCGAACAAGGGGGTGTGCTCGTCTGGCGAGGTGGACGGGGTCGACATTGGCCCGCCGATGTCGCCGAGTGGGGGTCCGGGTCGAGGGGGAGGGGCGAGGTCGACGAGGGGCGACGGTGAGCCGGGTTCAGGTGGGCATGTAGCTGCCAGTCGAGTGCAGCAGAGTGGGTGCTTTGGCGAGTCGGTCGAGCACAGGGGGCGAGTCGCCTCGGCGTCGTTGTCGTCGTCTCATCGCGTCGAGCGCTTCTCCGCCTCTCTTCTCTCCACAACGCGCTACCATGCTGTACGTCGCGCAGGCTCTCGGGCCATCAGCTCAGCTTGGTGCCCTGTCGGCCCGCTTCTTCGATCCAGAGCGCGAGACGCTCGTCTTCCAGTGCGTCGCATCCTCCTCGCTCGCCTCGCCGCGCGACCCGACCTCCACTCACCCTCGTTCCCGATGGACTGCCGCACACAGCAAACTCGACCGACTCGAGTTTGCAGTCCCCGACGCGGGCAACATCGAGGTCAACGTCTACTCGGGCATTGCTGCCATCCAGAGCGTCCATCTCGCCGTGCGTCGTCCCTCTCCCTTCCTCCTTGCGCACAGACGCCAGCTGACCCAGTCCTAACTCCCTGCGCAGGGTCGCGCAACGGCGTCCATCATCGTCCTCACCACCTGCCAGCGCCTCTTCCTCCTCGACTCGGACCCGTCCGCCCCCGCCTCGGAGCCGAGCGTCGTCACGAGCGCGAGCATCTCGATCCACGAGCCCTTTGGCCGCCTCGCAGAGTACCAGGACATTGTCGTCGACCAGCATGGCCGCTGCGTCCTCGTGCACGCCTACAGCGGCCTCGTGCGCGTCGTCCCGCTCCCCGGCGCCGCCGCAGCTGCCGCCGCCGCCTCGTCGTCTTCGCGCAGGGCGTCGCACGGCGCCGCCGACGAGTCGAACGAGCTCGACCTCGACGCGAGCTACAACGTGCGCCTGTCGACCCTCAACGTCTCGTCGCTCGCGTTCGTCCCGACCTCGACCGCGTTCTCGTCGGCGCCCGTCCTCGCCGCCGTGTACGCGTCGCACACGGGGCACAAGGTCCTCGCAACGTTCACGGTCGACCTCGTCGACAAGGAGCTCGGCGAGGGCCCCTTGCGCGAGCAGGTCCTCGTCGACCCGGGCAGCGAGCTCGTGATCCCGCTCGGCAACGGCGTCGCGGTCGTCGGCGAGGAGTCGATGACGTGGTACGCCGTGCCCGTGACGGACGGCGGTGACGAGGGCAAGGGCGACAAGGGCAAGGGCAAGGCGGCGGCGGCGGTCGAGGAGAGCGGGGCTGGAGCAAGGTGTCGGCTGCCCGTCTCGCGCGTCACGGCGTGCGTCCTCCTCTCTCTCCCTCTCTGCGTCTCTCTCCGAGCAGGCGCACTCATGCAGACCTTCTCTCCCATCCTGCAGATGGACGGCGCTGTCCGACGACCGGCTCCTCCTCGGCGACTTGTACGGCAAGCTGCTGCTCGTCACGGCCACGCTGTCGGACGCAGGGCGTGTCACGAGCGTCTCAGTCGAAGACCTCGGCGACGTGCGTCCCGCCTTCCCCTCTCTCTGCGCCGCATCGCCGAAACTGACTCGTGCGCACCCACAGGCCACCTCGGCAACCTCGATCGTGCCCATGTCGGCCACGGAGGTCTACCTCTCGTCGCGGTTCGGCGACTCGCAGATCATTCGTCTGCCGTCGACCGACGCCGACGCGATGCACGACGACGCGACGCCGGCCCCGGCGACCGAGCTTGCCCTCGTGCAGAGCTTCTCGTCGCTCGCGCCCGTCCTCGACTTTGTCGTCGTCGGCGAGTCGTCGACCTCGTCGTCGGTGCGCCCTCGTTCCCCTTCCTCGCACGCCGACCGTGTACTGATGAACAGCGCGCACACAGGGTTACCTCGTCACGTGCTCGGGCGCGTACAAGACGGGCTCGCTCCGCGTCGTCCGCAGCGGCGTCGGCGTCCAGGAACTCGCGAGCCTCGAGATCGACGGCGTGCAGCGCCTGTGGTCGTTCACGACGTCGGCCGACGATCGGCTCCTCGTCCTCGGCTTCTTCGACGAGACGCGCGTCTTCAAGCTCGTCTCGGCCGGCGGCGATGACGGCGGCGACGGCGCCGAGCTCGACCTCGACGAGGTTGACCTGCCCTTCTTCGACTCGGCAAGTGCGACCCTGTTCGCCGGCGCGCTCGCTGCCGGCCTCGTCGTGCAGGTGACGGCGCAGGGTGTCGCGTGCGACGGGCAGACGTGGCGGCCCGAGGGCGGCAAGAAGAAGATCACGGCGGCGGCGGCGCGCGAGGGCGGGGCGTACCTTGCTGTCGCAGTCGAGGGCGGCGAGCTGGTTGTCCTGCGGGCCGAGAACGGGCAGCTCGTCAACGTCAGGTGCGTCTCTCGGGGTCCCTCTTCTCTCGCTCGTCGACGCAAGGAGCGGTACTGACTTTTGCGCCTCTGTACAGCTCGACCACGTTCCAGCACGACATTGCCGCTCTCGCGCTCTCGCCGTCGGGCCAGCACGTCGTCGTCGCGCTGTGGACGTCGCAGGAGGTCCACCTCGTCGACCTCGCCTCGTCGCCGCTCGCCCCGTGCGCGACACACCGCATCGACTCGACCTTCCTCATCCGCTCGCTGGCCCTCACGGACTTTTCGTCGGCATCGTCGCCGACCACCAACGGCGGCGACACGACGCTCCTCGCCGGCCTCGGCGACGGCACGCTCGTCTCGCTCGCCGTCGACCTCGCGAGCGGGTCGTTCGTCGCGTCGAGCTCCAAGGCCGTCGCGCTCGGCAAGCGGCCGCTCCAGGTGACCGAGATCGTGCACGGCGACGCGTGCGACGTGTTTGTCGCGAGCGACCGGCCGACGATCGTCAGCCGGTCCAAAGACCGCCTCGTCTACTCGAGCGTCAACGTCGGCGTGCGTCCACTCTCTCCTCTCTGTCGGGCAGAGACGGGCGGAACTGACATCGTTGCCCCCTCTGCCAGGACACGCACGCCGTCTGCGCGCTCCCGAACGGCGCCCTCGCCCTCGCGTCGTCCTCGAGCCTCACGCTCGCCCAGGTCGGCGCCATCCAGCAGGTCGACGTGCGCACGGTCCCGCTCGACGAGGACGAGCCGCGCCGGATCGCGCACGACGCCGAGGCCAAGTGCTTCGTCGTCACATGCGCGAGGCGCGACGTTGATCGCGAGACGGGCGAGACGAGCGTGAGCGGCGTCGTCAGGTTGCTCGGCGAGGACTTTGCGAGTGCGTCCCTCTCTCTCTCTCATTCTCTCTCTCGTCTCGAGACCTGCGCCTGACGTCCCTCCCCACCTCCTCTGCAGCTCGCGCAACGCTCGCCCTTGAGCCGGGCGAGGAAGCCCAGTCGCTCACGCTCGCGCACGCGGCCGAGTCGGGCGAGGCGCTCTTCCTCGTCGGCACGACGCGCGCGCCGCCATCGCCGGACAGCGAGCCGACTGAGGGCCGGCTGCTCGTCCTGCGCACGACGGTCGACGGCGACGGGGCGGCGCTCGAGCAGGTGAGCGAGACGGCGATCGGCGGGTGCCCGTACGCCGTCGTGCCGCTCGCCGGGACCGGCGCGGGCTCGGCGCAGGGCTACGTCGCGACGGCGGTCAACTCGCAGGTGGGCGTGTGGGCGCTCGGCGCCGACGGCTCGCTGTCGCTCTCGGCGACGTGGGGCGGCGCCTTCGTCGCGTACACGCTCGCAGCGGGCGACGAGCCGGGCACGCTCGTCGTCGGCGACGCGCTGCGGAGCGTGACGCTCCTGCGGTACACGGCGCCGACGGGCGCGCCGATGCAAGGGCGCCTCGACGAGGTCGCGCGCGACTACCGCAGCCGGTACATGCTCGGCGTTGCGCCGCTCGGTGCCGGCTCGGGCGAGGTGCTCGGCGCCGAGACGGACCTGAACTTGTTTACGCTCGGGCGCGACGAGGGCGCCGAGCGCCAAGGGCGGGTTGGGGACGCGGGTGTGCTCGAGGCGAGGGGCCAGTGGCACCTCGGCGAGATGGTGTCGCGCTTCCGGCCAGGTGCGCTGCCTCTTCCTCTCTCTCCCTCATCCCCAACGGTTCTCGGACTGACTCACGCCCGGATCGACGTACAGGTTCGCTCGGGCAGCTCATCGGCGACTCGTCGGGCGCGGCGACGGCGCAGCTCCTGTTTGCGACGTCGGCGGGCAGCATCGGCGTCATTGCGTCGCTGTCGCCCGAGGCGGGCCAGATCTTGTCGGGCGTCGAGCGCAACTTGCGCGCCGTCATCGGGTACCACGGGCATGTTGGGCAAGAAGAGTGCGTCGCCGTCGTCCCTTCCTCTCTCTCCCTCTCTCTCTCTCTCTCTCTCTCTCCCTGACGGACGTCGGGCTAACTCTCAAATCCCGCCAGGTTCCGCTCATACAAGGTGGACAAGACGGTGTACCCGAGTGCCGGGTTCATCGACGGCGCGTTCGTCGAGCAATTCCTCGATTTGAGCGTCGAGCGGCAGGAGGCGGTCGTCGCCGGGCAGAGCGAGCCCGAGCGGCTCTCGGTCACGCGCGACGAGGTGGCGAGCTTGATCGAGGAGGTGGCGAGGGTGCACTGAGCACAAGAGGAGGAGTGCCCGCAGTTTGTAGCATAGCTTTCTCGCTTTCCGTCGTTGGCCATCGTCGTTCGTCTCTCTTGCTCTCGTCCCGCCGCGCAGACCTTGAGAGAGTTGGAAAGAGATGACCTGCATGACCCAGTACAACAGCTCGTCTAGTCGCATCCGCCCATGCGCCCGCCCATCGTCATTGCGCGCTCACGCGTAGGGGAGGAGGCGCCGGAGCGTCTTCTTCCACGCTGGCCGGGCAAAGGCGGGCTCGCCGAGGCGGTTGAGGCGCTCGCGTGACATGCTGCCGTTGCTGTTGAGGTGGACGCGGCCGGCCTTGGCCTGTGTGGATGCGAGTTGGCCGGTCAGCACGCCGAGAGATGAGGAGGAGGAGGAGAGGAGGAGTGGGAGAGGGGACGCACGCGCTTGAACTCGCCGTTGGCGAGGGCCTTCCAGCGCTTTGCGGCGCCCTGGTGGGTCTTGAGCTTGATCTTTGTCGGTTTCCGGACGAGGAGCTGGGCGGGCGACGACGAGAAAAGGCGCAAGGACGAGGAGGGCGAGGACGAGAGGGCCCAGCTGAGCGGGGACGAGGGGCGGGTTGCGACGCGGGCGAGGGTGCGCAAAGGTTGCCAGGCGAGCATGGTGGACGGGGGTGGTGTAGTAGGGTTCCGGTCGAGGCTCGCTGGCTGCTGCGGCCGTCGTCGTCGTCGCCGTCACTCCTCTCTCGCTCTCACCCTCGCTACTCGCACTCTCGGCGCCATGTCGGTCACGCTCTCGCCCTCGAGCCAGCTCGGCTTCCAGCGTGCGTCCCACCCTCCTTCCTCGCCTCTCGCGGCCCCCTCTCCCCGCGCTCCTCCCCCCTCCTCCACCTCGTCCCCACTCACCTCACTGACGCTCCCTCCCTCGCCCGCCCTGTGCCACCTGCACCACCGCCGCCCTCTTACTTGCGCCCAACTCCCACGTCCACTCGTCGCCCTCCCGCAGGCCCGCTCACGCAGCTCGTCAAGCGCTCGCTCGCCGTCAGCAACCACAACTCGCAGGCGGTCGCCTACAAGGTCAAGACGACCGCCCCGAGGCAGTACTGCGTCCGCCCCAACTCGGGTCGCATCGAGCCGGGCGAGACGGTCGAGGTCCAGGGTCCGTCAACCCTCTCCCCGCCTGCGACCCCTCCCACGCACTCGCACGCGACCTCGGCTTGCCTCAGCGCGGCCACTGACTCCTTGCGTCCCTGGACACAGTTCTCCTGCAGGCCATGAAGGAGGACCCGGCGCCGGGCGCCAAGTGCCGCGACAAGTTCCTCGTCCAGAGCATCATCATCACTCCGGAGCGCGAGGACGTCGCCCTCGCCGAGCTGGTACGTCCCACCCCGCCCTCTCTCCCCCTCGGCGCCCACCGGATACTGACAGAGCCGCCGTCGCACCGCAGTGGTCGGTCGTTGAGCAGGAGGACAAGTCGCGCGGCGAGGCGGCCCCGAGCCAGATCCACGAGCAGAAGATCCGCTGCGCCTACCTCCCCGCCGCTGAGCACGGCTCGATCCCGGAAGAGACGGTGCGTCGGGACCTGCCTTCCTCTCTCTCTCGCTCGCGCGTGCCCGCAGCGAGTACACTGACGCTCATGCGACGCGCCCGCAGACTGGGCACGACACGCCGCGCACCTCGAACGTTGAGCCGGCCTTTGCCTCGGCCGTCAGCCCCTCGTCGCACGCGTCGAGCACCCCGACCCAGCCGTCCGCCACGTCCGCCCGCGACGCCTCGCCCTCGCCGGCCCAGTTCCACAACTCGTCGTCGTCGTCGCCGGCGGCTTCGTCGCCCTCGCCCGCCATGGCCGACAAGGCGCGCGACGTCGCCGCCGGTGCGTCGGGCGCGGCGGCCGGTGCGGCGGCGGCCGTCGGCCTCCCCGGCGTCGCCAACGCGATCGAGCGCAACGCGCCCATCCAGTCGTCGGGCGGGCCGGCCTACCTCTCGGCGTCGTCGCCCTCGGGCGCCGCCTCTTCCGCGCCCGCGTCGTCCTCTACGACGACGAAGGCGACGAGCGCGAGCACGAGCACGAGCACGGCGGCGGCTGGCGGGTCGGACGAGCTGTCGCGCGTGCGGTCGGAGCTCGCGGCGACCAAGGCCGAGCTTGCGCGCGTCAAGCAGCAGCTCGACGCGAGCGAGACGACGGCGGCGACGCTGCGCTCGCGCGGTGCGGGTGCGGGTGCGGGTGCGGGCGGAGCGGGTGCGGGCAAGGAGGCGAGCACGGCGCAGGCCGTCGTCGAGCTCAAGGGGCAGGAGGGCGTCCCGGTGCAGGTCGTTGCGGGCTTGATGTTTGCCGCCGTCGTCGTCACCTAGTGAGTCTTGGCCCCCTTCCTCTCTCTCACTCTCTCGGTCGGCCTCGTCGCCGACGACCAACTGACTGACCCTGCCTCGTCCGTCGCGCGCAGCCTCACTTGCCGCGCCTGACCGCAGCCGCTTTTGCCCCCTCCCCCGTCTGTAACCTGTTGATCTGTCTACACTCTTCCCCTCCCTTGCCCCCTGCGAGTCGCACCCCTCGCTTCCCCCCTTCGTCGTCTGCCTGCCCTCCCGCCTTTATCTCTCGCCTCGCCTCGCCTCGTCGTTCCGGATGCAACTCGCTCTCTCGATCTCAACCCCTGGCCCTGTTGTCCAATCGAGCGAGCAGAGAGAGAGAGAGAGTCCGGCACCCCTGAGCGATCTCGCGTGCGCGTGGCCAGCTTCGAAAGGTCTGAGGCCCAATCTCGCGATCAGTCGCCGTGCTGCTCCTTCTCCTCGCGAGTCGCTTCGCCTCCTCTCGGGCCCTGCATTCGCATGAGCGTCGCATGCGCGAGGCCGAGTGCTCCCTCTAGTGCTCCCCCTGGATTACCGAGGCCACGCGAGAGAGCGTAAGCCGTCCTTGCTCGAGTCGGCGGATTGTCGTTTTGATATTCGAGACCCGCGCCGCCACGCGACGAGCGGGACGTGCGCCTCGGGAGAGCTGCGCCCAGGCGGCCGCAACTCCATCGTGCCCATGCTGGGTGCGGCCTTGCCCTCGCTTTCGCGCTCTTGCACTCGAGTGCAGCACGTCCGACGCTTACCGCTGTCCACACCGACCGTCCTTCCCTCCCCCGTGCGCCTCTCGCCTCTCCCGACCACTCGACCGCGCACAGACCCCTCAGCTTCTCGTCTCCGCCCTTCGTCAGACGCTCTCGCCATGCGCTACGCAGCTGGCCGTTTCTTGGCGGCCGCACTTGCCGTCGTCGCCATGTCCGTCGTCGTTGTCGTTGGCGCAACCCCTCTCGAGGGCGAGTCGCTCGCCGCTTTTCGCGTCGACACGGGGCGAGCTGACCCTCTCTCCCGTCCCTCGTCGACGTACAGCATCGACCCTCGTCCGCCGCACGTCCGCACCCTCCTTCTTCACCACCTCCGAGCCCCTCGTCGAGCGCTCGACCGAGTCGCGCGAGGCGTCCGTCGCCCGCATCAAGCGCGCCAAGCTCGCCGCCGCCAAGCGCGCCCTGCGCGAGACGGCGCTGCACGAACGAGGGCAGCGCCTCCTCAAGCGCCACATTGACGAGGTCAACGAGCGCGAGGGCGTCTCGAAGCGCGACCTCGAGCGCCGGGCCGTCTTTGCTCGCGCCCTTAAGCGCTACCGCTGTGGAACCGGTGTGTCCCGCCTCTCCTTCTCCAAGCGTACACGTCGCAGTAGCTCACCTGACTCGAGCACGCAGACCGCGTCTGCGCTAAAGCCGTCACTTCCCCGAGCGATTTGCCGACGAACGGCCGCGCTTTCTGCAACAAGATCACCCACATCTGCGCCGGTGCGTCCCTATCGTCGCACGTCGCCCACGTCGAGACCGACTCTGACTCTCCTCGTCGTCGACGCCGAGCAGTCGGCTGCCAGCCGGGCTACATCCTCGCGAGCGGTACCTGCATCCAGTCTCAGCCGACGTGCGGGCCCAACACGTGCGGCACGACGCCCAACGGCGTCTTCCTGTGCTCCGGCGGGAGCGTGTGCACCCTCGCGTGCGACACGGCCAATGGGTACGTCGCGACCAACGCCGGCACCTGCGTCAACGTCGAGACCTCGCCCGACAACTGCGGCGCCGCCGGCACGTCGTGCCCTGGGTCGTACAACGGCGTGGGAACGGCTGCGTGTCGGAACCGCAGGTGCATCCTCAGTGCGTCCCGCTCGCCGAGCCTCTTCCTTGCTGGCCTTCCCAAACCAGCTCACTTCTTCCTCGCGCTGCAGGCTGCCCTCGTGGCACGACGCTGCGGCGTACGCTCGACGGTCAAGCCCTGTACTGCTACGGTCGATGATGGGCTTGCGTCGATGCGCCGATGCGTCGAGGACTCGTCCACCCGTCGCGTCGGCCGCCTCCTGTTCTTCTCACTCGGTGTGTCGGGTTCAGCGGTCTGTACCTCTCGTCTCGTTCATTCCTTCCCCTCTGTCCGTGTATCGAGGAACGTTCTGCTCTTCTCTCCCGGCCGAATCGCGCAGAGCGAGAGGCGCTCTCAGAGCTCGACCTCGCCTCCCGAGGACCGTGCCCTCCTTCGCGAGCCGCTCCTTTTGCTCGCGCTCGCGCTCAGCAGCGTCGCACGTGCAAGGCTGCGTGCTGCGAGCCTCTGAGCATGCGCTCGTAGATGCCGACTCGCTCAGTGCGGCCAGTGCGACGTCCGCCGTCCCGCGCTGCTGCGCTCGTGCGCGGGACGCGATGTGCAGCGAGCGCGTGCCCAGCTTTGCGCCGGCGTGCGCGCTGTACACTGCTCCCTCGCTCTCTCTTGCACTCGAGCGCTACCCTGTGGCGCGTTCGATAGCCTCATTTCGCCGCCGACGCTGGCCACCATCCACGTGTCCGCTCATCGCTCACCAAAAATCAAGTTCGCCCCGCTCGAACCTCGCCCTTCTCCCCCTCCCGACTCTCGACATGCGTTGCGCCGCTAGCCGGCTCTTCGTGGCCGTGCTCGCCGCTGTCACCCTCTCCATCGTCGGCGCGAGTCCCTTGTCAAGTGAGTCGAGTCGTGATTTTGGTTCTCGCTCTTTCCCTCGAGCTCTCGAAGTGGCTGACCAGCTTCCTCGTTCCACGGTACCTCGACCCACAGCGTCAGATTTGGCTCGTCGCGGGTCGTCCCCCTCTTTTACCGGCTCCGATCCCCTCGTCGAGCGCCGCTCGCCCGAATCCCGCCAGGCGTCGGCCGCACGCATAAAGCGCGCCAAGGTCGCCGCCGTCAAGAAGCTCAAGCGAGAGACAGCGGCGCACGACGAGGGCCAACGGCTCCTCAAGCGCCACGTGGACGAGGTCAATGCGCGCGAGGGCGTCTCGAAGCGCGACCTCGAGCGTCGGGCCGTCTTTGCTCGCGCGATCAAGCGCTATCGTTGCGGCACGGGTGCGCGTCTCTCTGCGCGCTCTTACATCGAGCGCCGACTCATCATTCCTCGCCGCGACAGACAACGTGTGCCTCAAAGCCGTCACCTCGCCGAGCGACGTGCCGACAAACGGCCTCGTGTACTGCAACAAGGTCACGCACCTCTGCGCCGGTGCGCCGACCTCTCCCCTCTTCTTGACGACGCGCAGATGCAGGCGACAATGACCCTCGTCAGCGAGCGACAGTGGGCTGCCAGCCCGGCTTCATTCTCGCGGGCGGCACGTGCATCGCGTCGCAGCCGACGTGCGGGCCCAACACGTGCGGCACGACGCCCAACGGCGCCTTCTTGTGCTCGGGCGCAGGCGTGTGTACGCTTGTGTGCGACACGGCCAACGGGTACGTCGCGAGCGACGCCAACACGTGCGTCAACACGTTCACTTCGCCGACCAACTGCGGCGCGCTCGGGGTCGTGTGCCCCCCGTCGTACAACGGGATCGGGATACCGCAGTGCCGCAATCGCGCCTGCATCCTGTGTGCGTCCCTCTTGTCGAGTCTGCCATTGCAGCGACCGAAATGACTAACCCTCTCGCTTTCGGTCCTCTCCTCCTCTAGTTTGCCCTCCTGGCTCCTACATGCGCCGCACGGCCGATAGGACACGCTTGTACTGCTACGGTCTGACGGTGTCGGCGTGAACACCGCCCGGTGCGAGGCCGGGCCCTGGACTCGTCCACGTTGCGCAGCTTCTTCTCCACTCGCTCCTCCTTGTAGCCAACTAACTTGTCTTGTAGCTCCCCCCTCTCCTTCTCGCACTCTCTCGTCGACCTGTGTAACCCGTGCCTTTCGTTCCTCGCGCATACTCGTACATCGAGAGAATTCTCGGCGACCTTCTCAAATCAGAGCTCGCGCCTCGGAAAGCCAGAATCTATTGCAGAGCCACGCGCCAACGTGCTACTTGGCCGCCGCCGACTGCACCGATTTCGCCATTGCGAAGACGATGCCGGCCATGAAGCCCACGAGGATCGAGCAGACGTTGGAGAAGTTGGCCGGGTCGCCGAAGAAGAGGATGCCCGACGCGGCGACGGGCAGCTTGTTGAGGGCGCCGACCATCGAGAACGTCGTCGACGACGTCGTGCGGACAGTCCAGGCCGTGCAGTACGAGATAAAGACGGCCGCCGCGCCCGAGAAGGCCATGAGGCTCAAAAGGCTCGTGCGGGTCTCGGCCGGGCTGCGGGCGGCGCTCATAGACGTCAGGACTGCTCGCAATCGCCAACGCGACCAAGAGGAAAGAGAGAGAGAGGGACGCACAAGTTGCGCTCGAGGTTGTCGGACGACCAGGTCTCGAACAGGATCGAGAAGACTACGAGGACCGGGATCGAGAGCAAGTTGTTGTAGAACATCGAGTCCCAGTCCTTGAAGTTGGTGACCTTGATGCGCTTGCGCATGGCGAGGACGTAGCCGGCCGAGACGAAGCAGTTGAACTGTGCGCGAGAGGAGCCCGAAAGTCAGTCCGTGGTCGACCTGCTCGTCGCTCGCGCGCACCGAGCGGAGGAAGCTCAGACGCACGAACATCCACAGGTAGCCTGCGCTCGACTGGGCACCGACGCTCGGAGCGGCGCCGACACCGTTCATCCACCTCAGGACGTCCGGGCTCGCAGCGATGAGCGACGAAACGACCTGCAAGGGGGCAAGACGAGGGGTGAGCGCCTCTCCTTCTCGTCTCCAAGCTCGATAGAGAAAGGGTGGGCGCACCATGAGGCCGAACGAGACGAGCGTGAGCGGCGTCACGCTGCCGCCGAACCAGAGGACCTCGCCGTACGCGATGAGAATGATGGTGAGGTTCTTGAAGATGGTGTAGACCGGGACCGAGAGGTATTGCTGTCGAGGTTCAGGGGCGTGTCAGTGCGTGCGAGTCGAGAAGGGCGAGAGGGAGAGGGACGCACGAGCGACTTGGACCCGGTGTAGATGACGAGGACGAGGAGGAACGAGATGGGGAACCAGCGCCGGGCGTCCTCGCGGTCCCAGTCGCGGAAAGTGATGACCTGCAGGTAGGTGGCGCGAAAGGAGGTCAGCTGCGCGCCCGCAAGCCCATCGAAGAGAAAGAGAGCGAGGGGACGCACACCGAGGCGCTTGGCGGCGACGACGCACGAGCTGCACACGACCGACTGGATCGCGAGCAGGAGGAAGTTCATGTTAAACCCTTTGCCCGACACGACGAACTCTGCGAGCGGGAGGAAGAGGGTCAGCGGCTTGTCGGCTAGAGCAGAGGTGCGGGTCGAAGGCGACTCGCTGTTGACGACCTGCAGGAGGAAGAAGTCAGGTCCCGCCCGCACGAGAGAGAGGCTCTGCAGACGCACCGTCATGAGGATGCTCGACGCGCAGTAGCACAGGACCGGGAGCGCAGGGTGCTGCAAGAGGCTGTCGAGCGACGAGGGCGGCGGGGTGGGACCGCGGCTGCGGCTCGCGGCGCGCTCGAGGTCCAGCTCCATGTCCTGGTCGTTGTCGGCGACCAGCTTGTAGTCGCCCTTGGGCTCGGCGGTGCTCATCGTGCGCGGGCTGGCGGGTGGTCGAAGCTGCGGAGAGAGAGGGGGGGCAGGAGTGGGGCGAACGGGCGGGCGCGTGTCGCGAGTGGTGCTGGCTGGTGCGGATGCAAAGGAAGCGAGTCCGAGTGGGCTCGAGGCGGACCCTTGGAGTGGCTAGGGGAGGAGAGCCGGCCAGGAGAGCACGTTCGCAGCTCGGAAGGCCGCGCCGGGGAAGCGCGCCACGTCGCCACGCGGCTCAACTCGATCGGACCGGGGCAGGGAACAAGCTCTCGTGCGCTCCGGGAAGAACGAATCGAAGTGCGAGTGGTTGCACACGGACACGGCAAAGAACGACTACAGAAGCCAGCGACGACCTCGACCCGGCCCTCGCCTCGTCACTGCGCCTCGTCCACCTGCATCGCGCTCTCTTCCTCGGCGGCACCGCTGCTCACGGCTGCCGCCACCGCCGCCGCCGCCTTGCGCTTCCTGCGCTCGTCGAGGAAGGCGTCGATCTGCTGCTTGAGCTCGACGGCGTCGACAATGTCCTCCCACTTGAGGGACTGGCGGTTGAACGGGTCGGTCGCGTCCGAGAGGTAGTGCTGCTTGATCGTCGAGCGGTCGACGATCGTCTTGCTCGACGGGAGCAGGACCGGGTCGCGCATGACGTCGTACGTGAGCGGGTCTGTGTGCGCGGGGCGGGGAGGGAGGGCAAGGCAAGGTCAGTCTCAAGGGCGCGCCGACACGAACGACGACGAGGCCGCACGAGAGAGAGAGAGAGGGGACGCACCGAGGAACTCGTCGGGGAGGTCACCGAGCGCCTCGTCCTCCTCCTCGGCCGTCTTGATCGCCTCGACCTTGTCGACGAACGCCGACAGGGCCTGAAGCTCGTCGGGCGTGCGGATCGCCGTCTTGGCCGCGATGCGGCCCGCGCGCTGGAACAGGTCGCGCGAGTAGCTGCGCCCGTCCTTGGCGACGGCCGACTGGAACTCGAGGTGCGGGCCGAGCTCGAGGAAGCACGCGAGGACGTCGGCGAGGAGCTCCTTTGGCCGGAACTTGAGCTTCTCCGGGTCGCGGACCTTGAGGTCCTGGCACCTCGGGCCGGCGAGCACCGACAGGTTCATGTCGAGCATGGCGGCGAGGCGGTCGACAATCTCGGGCGTGAGGAACGGCTCCTTGGTCTCGTGCGTGAAGAGCTTGAGGAGCCGCAGCGACTCGTGGCCGAGGTCGAGGTCCGACTTGACCTGCGACTCGTACTGGCGCAGGAGCTTCTCCTTCTCCTGCCGCTCGGCCGCCGGCAACGCTGCCCACGCCGCCGTGTCGTCCATGGCGCGCTGCGTCTCGCTGATCTTGCCGAGGTGGACGAGCGCGTCGTCGAGGAGGTAGGTCGTGTCGTTCATGAGGAGGTTGACGAACCGCACGTAGCGGTCAAAGTTGACCCTGTGGCGGTGCGAGGGAACGAGTAAGTGAGGGAACGACAGGCACGAGCCGTACGGCCATCGAGAGGAGAGGGAGAGAGGTGGACGCACTGGCTCTCGCGCTTGAGCGACTCGCGGTGCGTCGGGTTGCTCCACACGAGCTTGAAGAGCTGCGTGATGTAGTACCGGATGTTGAACTTGTCGTAGAACTGCGTGTGCGACCCGGTGACCTCGATCTCTGTGGCGCGAGGACGAGGAGGGCGGGCACCGTCAGGGCTTGGTTCGGCTCGGCTCGTACGCCAAGGCAAGAGGCCGCAGAGGGATGAAGAGGAAGAGAGAGAGGAGGACGCACCGATGTAGGCGTGGATGAGGCACGGCATGAGGTTCTTGAGCGCGAGCGAGTGAAAGTTGAGGACGTCGCCGAGGCAGCCTCGAGGGGCCGTGTACGACGGCCGCGTCAGGTAGTACATGATCTGCGGTCGTGCGCGAGATCCACAGTGAGCGAGGCCCGCTCGTGCGGCGCGAACGAAGGAGGGGAAAGAGGGGACGGACCTCGACGAACTGGCCTTTGAGGTACGGGTTCTTCATGTACGGCGTCGAGAGGAAGACGAGCATGAAGCTCATGAGCTCGTCCTGCGAGCTCGTCTCGAGGACCTGCGGCGCGTACCTGCGGGCGAGCCGAACCGTCAGTGACCTGCTGCCGCCGACGACGACGACGGCCACGACGACAACGCGAGGGTCGGGACGCACTTGGACGTGAAGCTGAGGAACTCGGTGATGTCCTCGATGAGGAACTCGGGCAGCATGCGGAAGACCTCGGGCGTCTCGTCGGGAAGCGGCAGGCTGCAACCGCGCGATATCGTTCAAGTCAGTCCTCGTCGCAGAGAGCCACGAGGACGGGACGGAGAGAGGACGGCGCCGACGCACCTGATGCGGGTCTGCGGGTGGCGCTTGAGCGGGTCGACGAGGCGCACAAGCCACGCCATGACGAGGCTGCCAAAGTTGGCGCACTTTGCGAGGTACTCGGGGTCGAGGAGCTGCACCTCGTACGCGAGGAGGTGCGCGCGCCACTGCTCGATCTTCTTCTGCTCGTTGGCGTCGTTGGCGAGGACGGGCGAGAGGGGGAGGTTGGTCAGCTTTGGGCTGAGGAGGGGAAAGAGAGAGAAAAAGAGAGGGACGAGGGCGCACCTTGTACCGGTCGAGGCTCGCCTGGGTCGCAGCCTCTTGCGGCGTCTGTGGTCGTGCGCTCAAGTCGTCAGGTCGTGCTCGAGAGGAACGAGAGCGGGGAAGGACGAGGGACGCACCCCGCGCCACGTCGAGTCGGCCTCCATGTCGGCGAGCTGGCGCACCATGTGCGACACCTGCTGACCGATGCCCTTGTGCTCCTTGATGGCGTGCAGCGGGCCAAGGTGCAGGTACTGGGCGCACAGGAAGAAGATCTCGGAGATGAAGTTGGGCGCGAGCGCTGTGGGGCGGGAAGGGAGGGGGGGACCGAGCGAGGGTCAGGACCACGACGACGACGACGAGGGAGGGAGAGAGAGGGGGCGACGCACGAGCATCGTTGGTCGCCTGCGAGTAGTACGCGTCGCTCTCCTGCTGGTTGGCGTTAATCTTGGTGTCGTCCTTGACGTTGATGCGCGCAGAGTGCTTGTAGTACAGCGGGTCAATCTTGTCGATCTGCGCGCAACGTCCGTCGGTCTCAGTACCTCGGCCCGTCGTTGTCGACCGACAGGCAGGCGGGGCACAGAGAGAGAGAGAGAGAGGGGAGTCGGGCGCACCTTGGAGAACCCAGCATCCATGAACGGCTCGGCGAACCTCAGGAGGACGTAGTGCAGGTTGTGGACAAAGCCCTCGCTCGAGACCGAGCTCGCGTCGACGCGCATCGCGGCGCGCTTGGCGTTGAGCTGCGCGGCGTGGCCGAGAAAGTCGAGGACGGCGGCGCGCGCCGTCGGCGACGAGCGCACGATGTTGTCGAGGATGCGGAAGAGCGTGTTCTGCGGGTGCGAGGGGCGAGGGTGGGGCGCGAGGGGGAGGAGGAGCTTTGTCAGTACGGTGCGCGAGGACAGGAGGGAGGTGGAGGAGGAGGAGGAGGGCGAGGGACGCACCTGGACCCCACGCAGGGTACCGCGCAGGCTCGCGCTCGCGCTGTCGATGTTGCCGCGGCCCATCGTGCTCGGCTCAGGGAAGTACGCGAGCGGGAGGTTGGGCTGCACCGGGTAGTTGCGCGAGCGAGTCAGTGTCAGGCACTCGGGCGCTCGAGGAGGGAGGGAGGGAGGAAGGGGGGGAAAAGGGGGACGCACCGCCCCGTCCGGGAACGCGCTCAGGCGCAACAGCGGTCCGAGCAAGCTGCGGTACTCGAGCATGGGTGCCGCCGCCCCGGGAAGCGTCGCAACGTCCCACCCGTCGACGGTGGGCAAGCACGCCGCGACGGCCTTGACTTCGCTCAGGCTCTGCACGGCGCCGAGGATGTCGCGGTACCCGACCGAGCCGGGCGCGCCGCCGCCGCCACCAATGTCGAGCTTGTGCGCGAGGAGGTGCGCGTTCCATTTGGCGAACAAGGGCGCGAGGATGAGCTCGAGGCCCGACTCGTGGTCGTTGGCGGGCGAGGGCGTGAAGCGCGCGGCGAGGTCGGTGAGGAGCGACGCGGCGTCGCCGGCTTGGAGCTGCGACGCGGGGACGACGGTCGAGGGCGGGATGAGGAGCGGCTCGAGCTCGAGCGCGCCGAGAGGCTTGTCGCTGTTTCCTCGCGCAAGGTGTCAGCCGGTCAGGTCGCTCTCGTCGAGAAGAGAACGGTGCGCCGACGCACGTGATGTGGTCCTGCGGGAACATGGTCGAGTCCTGCATGACGAGGCCCATGTACGACACGAGGAGCGCCTTGACCTGGGCGAGCACCTCGAACCGCTTCTTGGCCTCGTCCGGGTCCGAGTCCTGTCGCGCGTCGAGGTTCGTCAGGAGCGTCCCAGACACCGTCCGACACCACCGACAGAGAGAGAGAGAGGGGGGGCTGGGGCGCACCTTCTTGGCCATGACGCGCACGCGCTCCTGGCGCTCTCGCCTCCAGCACGACCCGAGGTACTCGAACGCGGTCTGGTCGGCGGGGAGCGCGGCAATGACCGTCACCTGCTCCGGGTCGTCCGTCATGTTGCTCGGGGCGAGCGACAGGCGCGCGAGGAGGAGGCGGTCGACGAGGTCGGCATGGAGAGGGTGCGGGCGAGGTGCGGCTGCAGGGTGCGCGAGGGGAGGTTAGCGGGGACGCGAGGCGCGGTCGAGAGAGGGGGAGCGCGGGGACGCACTCGGCTCCTCGTCATCGAGCTCTTGGGCGACGTCCTTGAGGTAGACCGTGGTCCAGTTGGACGCCTGCGCGACCTCGGACTGTGGGCGTCGCGAGGGCGTCGTCAGTGGAGGTTCGCTCGAGAGAGAGGACGAGAGGGGGGAGGCGTGACGCACGCTCAAGGTGACGTTGAGGATGTTGGCGATGGCCTTGTCCTGCCACTGGTCGAACGACTCGGTGAAGCGCTGCGGCTGAGGTGCGGTGGCCGTCCGAGGCTGCTTGGTCGGGGCCGGCGGCTGCGCTGCAGGCTTTGGTGGCTGCGGTCGGGGCTTCAGCGCAGGCTGTGGTGGGGGGTACGACGAGCGGTCAGGATCGCTCTCAGAGGCTGAGGATGACGAGGTGGACCATGACGATGGTGCCCTCACCGATGAAGCTGGCGGGACGGCTGCAGAGGGCTGCGAGCCCTGCGAGGTCGAGGGCTCGGCTTGCTGTTGTTGTTGCTGTTGCTGCTGCTGCTGCTGGAGCTTGGCGATGCGCTTGAGGCGGATCTGCGCGAGGACGAGCGATGGGAGTGGGGAGGCGGTGTCAGCGCGAGAGACGCGGGTAGGGAGGGGGCTGTGAGGTGTGGGGCGCACCTTGTCGGCGTCCGAGAGGGGCGTAGGTTCTTCTGCCATGGTCGTGCGGGACGGCTGTCGGAGAGAGAGCGAGAGTCTGGCGACGCGACCAAGGTGGAGCTCTGAGCCGTCTCTCTCTCTTGCATCACCTCGCTGTGTGCTGCGCTCTTCGTCGACGTGCCTGTGCCGCTATGGCCAGTTCCCGGCACCCGTACCTGTACCCGACCACCCCCTTCTCCACCTTTGAAGACAACGACGACGACCACCACCTCGCCCAACAGCTCCTCCCGACCCACCCGCGCGACACCCCGGCCAGGTGGGCAGACCACCCAAGCTCGACCAGGTCCAGCACCAACGGCGCAGGCGCAGGGTGGCGGCAGTGGCAGGGGCGACAGTCGCGCGGCACGCCCGCCTTCGCACTCGCCGCCCTCGCTCTCGTGCTCGTCCTGTTTGGCGGCGCATCGACCCAGCCCGACGTGCGTGACTACGTCAAAGACCGCGTTGCAATCTATGCCGGCGGCCAAAGCTCTCCAAGAGGTGCGCTGCCGCCCTCGTCTCCCTCCCCCCCACCTCCTCCCGGAACGCCCGCTCACCCGTCCGTCCCTCGCTCCTCTCGCCCCCCGCAGCCAACGCGACCATCGTCATCCTCGTCAACCCGTTCAGCAACATGTACCACGCGCTCCTCCCGACGCTCGAAAACATCGAGCTCAGTTCAACCGCCGCCTCGGGTACCCCGATCCAGCTCCTCACGACGGCCAGCTCCCGTCCGAGGGCATCATGAACCGCACAGCTACATCAGCGACGGCAAGGCGACCTGGTGTGCGTCCACTGACCCCCCTCTCTCTCCTCCCGTGATCCGTCGTCGTCGTCGTGCGTGACCTGATCTTTCCCTCCCTCCCCTCGCTGCAGCCGTCGTCACGCCCGAACAAGGCTGGGGCCCGCCCGAGTGGCTCCCGCAAGCCGACATCGACGAAGGCCTGCGCAAAATCCCGTTTCCTCTCGGGTACCGGTGCGTCCACCCTCCCTTCCTCCCTCGCACCCCTCCCTCGGGCACGCACTGACCTCGCCCACTCGCGGCCGCGCAGAAACATGTGTCGCTTCTTCTCCATGTTCCACCACAAGCATCCTGCGCTCGAGGGCTACGACTGGATCTTTCGCCTCGACGAGGGCATCACGTTCCACTGCGAGCTGGTGCGTGCCCTCTCTCCCCTTGTCACCTCGTTCTCAGCACGAGACGCTGAATCGCTCTCGCACCGCGCAGCACGAGGACCCCTTCCAGACGGTGCGCACGAGCCGTCTTCTCCTTCTTGGTCTTGTCGAGAGGCTGACTGACGGGCCTACCTCGCGCGCAGCTCATCGCCAACAACAAGACGTACGGTCCGTCCCGCCTCTCTCTCTCTCTCTTTCCTTCCCCCTCGCCGCCCTCTCACTGACCGCCACAACCCGCTCCCAGGCTTCACCAACGTCGACCAAGAAGCCCAGTTCGTCATCCCGACCCTGTGGCAGACGGCGACGGCCTTTATGCGCCAGGCGCCGAGCCACTACTTCCCCGCCGGCCGGGACGAGTCGTTCGTGAGCGACGATGGCGGAAAGACGTACAACCACCGGGTGCGTCGCGCTCTCTCTCTCTTCTATCGCGTCGTGAGGGCGAGCAGGGGATTGGCGACGGCGGCGGCCCAAGAGATCCTCACTGACCCTCGCTCCCTCCCTCCCTCCTCCCGCCAACCCGTGTCCTCGACTCTCGGTTTGACAGGTATACTACAACAAGTGAGCGTTTAGTCCCTCCCACTCTCGAGCGGACCCGTCCGAGCGTCGCACTGACCGCCTGTCTCCCTTCCGTCGCGCAGCTTCGAGATCGTCCATCGCTCGGTGCGCCGGGCCGCTCCCTCTCTCCTCCTCCTGTGGGCCTCACTGACGCGGGAGTGGTGCACCCGCACGCAGTTCCTCGAGAGCGAGCCGTACCAGGCGTTCGTCAACTACCTCGACCGCGCCGGCGGGTTCTACAAAGAGCGCTGGGGTCCGTCCTGTCTCTCTCTCTCTCGCCCACCTCCTCTTGCCCCGCCCCGCCCTGCCGGCCCTCGACTGACCCTCGACCCTCGACTTAAACCGCACCCCGCAGGCGACGCCCCGATCCGCACCATCGCCGCGTCCTACTTGCTCGACGCGGCCCAGATCCACTCGTTTGCCAACGTGACTGGGTACCGGCACGACTTGCCGCCGTTCGAGTGCCCCGACTTGCCGTGCGTCGCGCGCCTCTCTCTCTCTCGGGCGACGAGGAAGAACGAGCGCGACACGGACTGACACCTGAGCGCGCGCAGGTGGTGCACGTGCAACCCGGAGCTGAGCCGCATGAACGCGCACGGGCAGTGGTGAGAGAGCTTGTTGGACGTCGTATGTAGACCGGTGCTGTATGTACTGCAGCGCAGTTCCCGAGGGCCTTTCTCGCGGGCGCCGTTCGACAGAGAGCGAGAGCTGCGGAGGCGGAACGTGCGGGGTCTTCTCTTCTGCCGCGCGTCGTCGGCTTGACAGCGTCGGCGATTCACTCGTCGCCTCCTTGTCCCTCGAGAGACTCACATAGCTCGTCGTGTGTAGCTGCAGCTCGGGCCTGCGAGAGAAAGCTGCGACAACGAGCGGGCGTCCGGTGAGCACCCAGACGGAGCGTGCCTGCGACGTCGACGCGGCCGCCGCTCGCCTCTTCCTCTGCTTCGTCCTCCTCACTTCGAGCCACTCTGCTGCAGTCGCCTCGCGCTCTCTACGTGACCGTGGGCTTCTCAGCAACTTGCTGCTGGGCCCGCGGCTCCCGGCTGCGCTTCCGCTCGATCCCCTCGACCCCGCATAGCGAACGTTCGCGCCGCGCTCCGAATGGGCCGGACGAAGACGCGCTCGATGCTGCGCTCGCAGCGCGCGTTCGGCGTAACGTGCTCTGCTTGCTCCCCAAGGTCCAGCTCTCGCCTCTGAGCTGCCGCGCGACAAGCACTCGCACCACGCTCTCGGTGTCCACCGCACGGCTCGATGCCCTCTCCGACCCAGTGGCTCGAGCGCCTCGTTCGCCGAGGTGAGTTCCCATCTCGTTCCCACGCGCCGAGCCACCTCGCACAGCGCATCGAGCGACGAGGACGACCCTGCTCACGACCGATCCACGCCGTGCAGGCTCACCCGACTACGCGCCGTTGCGCTCCGAGCGGTTCACGTCCGTCGCGAGCGAGGCGTCGTCGACGATCGACTTTGGCGACGGCGACAGTCCGGCGCTCGACACGTCCAAGGAGCGCCTCACGCTCGCCGACCTCGACCATGACGACGAGGACGAGGCGCCGCAGCGCACGTCGCGCAAGCGGCGAGGCCGGCTCGCGCTCGCAGCCGCCGTCGTTGGCGCCGCCGTCGCCCTGTCGCTCCTCGGCGCCTCGTCCCTCGTCCTCCTGCGTGCCCCTGCAGCACCTGCCCTCGACCCATCCTGGGCGCCGCCCTGTCCCGCCCGCGCCTTCTCCACTGGCCGGTGGGTCGAGCGCGACCCGGCGCCGTCGCCCAACGCGAGCATCTGGGCCTCGACGGGCTTCACCGGGTGCGCCCAGGGCTGGTTCCGCAACGACTGGCACCTCGGGCTCGTGCCGCCGAGCGGCGAGAACCCGGCCGGCGAGGGCGGCGTGTGGCCCATGAGCGGGTACCGGCGGCGAGCGGGCGTGTGGGAGTGGCGGCCCGAGGACGAGGTGTGCGACGTGTTGGACGACGATGCGGCAGCAGAAGGTGGAGAAGGCGCGCGGGTGCAGGGCGTCGACGTCGTGCGGCTCTTGCAGGACCTCGTCGACCACGGCGCGTGGCTCATCGTCGGCGGTGCGTCCTCCTCTCTTCCTCTCCCTCGTCAACTCGACGAGTCTCATGACCTTGCCTCTACGTACACAGACTCGCTGTCGGAGCAGCAGTTCTTCTCGCTCGGGTGCCTCCTGTTCCCGCACGTGCACGCGCTGTGGCCGATGCCGCCCATGAGCGAGTGGCAGCAGATCAAGGAGGAGCACCTGTTCCTCGACCCGGCGAGCCCTCTCGTCGCAAGCGGTCGCCTCACCGTGCCCGAGGGCTTCGACTTTGCCGGCTCGCCAGTCGTCTCGCACGTCCGGTACGTCCCTGCCTCGCCGACTCTCGGACCTCTTTGCCCGACTTTCGCTGACGCTTTGCCGCCTGCACGCAGCACCGACCACGGCCTCGCCCCCTCGGAGCTCGTCGACATCTACGCGACGTTCCACGAGCAGTCGCCTCCCGCCCTCGCGGCGCAGTACCCGGCGCTCGCGTCCCTCCCTCCCCACCCGAACCCGCGCTCGATCCTCACCGCCGTCGAGACCTTCTCGCCCTCGATCGACTACTACCTCGACCTGTTCCTCCGCCCTTCCTCGCCGCGCAACATCTCGACCGGCATCTCGCCGTCGTACTCGCCCTCGACGACGCCGCCCGACGCGCTCGCCGTCGAGCGCGACGCGACCCGCTCGGCGCACTACCGCGCCCTCGTGTTCTCGACCGGCGCCCACTTCAGCTCGCGGCACTTTACCCTGCCCGACGGGCCCATCACGTACGCCGTCCCGGCGGCGGATGCCGTCGTCGGCGAGGTGGGCAACGTCGTCGAGCCCGGGTCGAGCGCGCCGGCTTCGGCGTCCACCGGCGTCGGCAACGCGCAGGTCGAGTTCTTTGAGCTCGTCGTCGACGCGTGGGCTGCGCGAGTCAGCGCCGCTCTCGACGAGGCGACGCCCGAGGAGCGCGAGGGCAAGGTCGTTCTCGTGCGGCCGAGCAGCGGCGGGCACAACGACTGCCACTCGGCGAAGCGGCCCGTCCAGGACGGCGAGGAGGTCCAGAGCAGCTGGTACAGCTGGGCCGACATGGCGGTCATGAACGCCAAAGCCGAGGTGCGTCGTCTCTCCTCCCCCGAGCCCGCTCGAGCCCGAGACTCACGTTGCCTCTCTCTCCTGCAGACGCTCATCGACCATCTCGCCAACCCGCAAATCGCCTTTCTCGACCTCGCCCGACCTGCCAGCCTTCGACCCGACGCTGTGAGTCCTGCCCGTCCGCCTCGCCTGCTCGTCCAGAACTGACCTTCCCAACTCGCGCTCGCGCCCGCAGCACACGAACGACGACTGCCTGCACCTCTCGACTGGAACGGGCGTCATCGAGGGCTGGACGAGGTACATCTCGTACTACCTGCGTGAGCGCAGGGCGGTCGCCGGGCGCGCACGAGGCGGGACCTCGATTTGGGCGAGTCGCCTGAGTGACCTCGTCCCTCGGTAGTTGCGCATCCGGCTCGTCTTGTTGTCATTCTTATCCGTCCTCGCCGCGTTCGTCTTGCGTCGTGCACTCTGCGAGAGAGAGAGAGGCCGTCGACAGAGCGTTCGAGAGCGCGATGTCAACGATCGTCGTCGGTCCGCTTCCGCGGCGGAGCCTCGGACGCACGTCTGTTGCCGGCCGCCCTTGCTTACACTCTCGCTTTCCTCAACGCTGCCGACCCTGCCCTGCTGCTCTCTCTCTCTCGCTCCCACAGCTCGTCGACGATGTTCACGCCACTGCCCTCCTTCATCGGCGGCCTGTTGCTGTCGTTCTCGACGTCGACGCTGCTCGTGACACAGGGGCGCACCCTCGGCTGCAGCGGCGTCGCCCACGGCACCGTCGACGCGCTCGTCGGCTCACTCGCGCCCGGCGGCAAGGACCAGTCGTCGGATGGCGACCGCAAGGCCAAAGCGCAGGCGGCGTCGTCGAGCGGGTGGAAGTTGGCCGTGACGGGAGGGCTCGTCGCCGGTGGTGCGCTCCTGCGCCTCGTGCGGCCGCAGCTCGAACGCGTCGTCGGTGCGGCGGTCTTTGACGCGCCGCTGAGCGCAACGCAGGCGGGCACGGCGCGCGTCGTCCTCGCCGGGCTGCTCGTGGGCGGCGGTACCAAGGTGCGCTTCGACCCTCTCGCTCTCCCTCATCTCTCCTCGTGACGAGCTGACCTTCCTCGCGCGCCGCCACACAGCTCGCGAACGGCTGCACGAGCGGGCACATGCTCCTCGGCCTCGCGCGCCTCTCGAAGCGCTCCCTCGCCGCCGTCGTGACCTTCTTCGCCACCGCCCTCGTCACCTCGCGCCTCGCGCCCTTCTCCCCCAGCACCTCCTCGACGTTCCTCGCACCTCCCTCGACGTCCCTCCCTCTCTCGACCGGCGCCGCCCTCGCCCTCCTCGCGCTCGCGCCCCTCCTCTCCCTCCCACCCCTCTTGACCTCGCGCTCGCGCCCCGACTCGTACTACGCCCGCCTGCACGCCTTCCTCCTCGGCATGACGTTCTCGATCGGGCTCGCGCTCGCGGGCATGACGCGCCCGTCCAAGGTCCTCGCCTTCTTCCACGTCCCGCTCCCGTTCGTCCCCTCGCCGTCGCATGGCGCAGCCTGGGACCCGTCGCTCGCGATGGTCGCACTCGGCGGCCTCGTGCCCAACGTTGCCGTGTGGCAGGCCGTCCGAGGGTGGAAGAGCCCGCTCAGGGCCGAGCGGTGGAGCGTGCCGAGGGGAGGGGACGTCGACGCCAGGCTCGTGCTCGGCTCGGCGGCGTTTGGCGTCGGGTGGGGGCTTCTCGGGTGCGTCTCCTCTCTCTCTCTGCTCTTTTGATGGAGCAGACACTGAATCTCGACGAGCGCGCACAGGATCTGCCCCGGCCCGCTCCTCGCCGTCCTCGGAGGCGGGTCCGGCTCAGCCATGACGGTGTTCGCGGCGGCTTTCGCAGCGAGCGGGCTCGCAGTCGGTCGGCTCTCGGCGTAGAACACTGTGAGATTGAGAAATAGAATTGAAGAACGTCCGCTGCGACGTGGAGAACCCGCTCCCCTCTTCGACCCGCTCACCGCCCGACGACCGACTTGATCTGCGCCCAGTACACGGCGAGGTCCTCGGGCTTCGTCTTGAAGACGAACAGACCCGCCAATGCCACGGTATAGCCCCCGAGCTGCGGTGCGAGAGAGAGAGAGAGAGAGAGAGAAAGAGGTCAAAGTCCGTGCTGAGACGTGCGAGAGCGAGAGGAAGGAGCAGGGACGCACCTGAATCATGGTGACAGGAGTGCCGAACAGGACGACCGAGCCCGTGACGAGGAGAATGTCCTTGAGAACGCCTGCGAGTCCGGGAAAAGCTCAAGTCAGTCGCCGCTCGGGAAGGCTCGCGAGAGACAAAGAGGGAGAGAGGGCGGGAGAGAGAGCGGGGGAGAGTGGGAGACAGGGGCAGAAGAAGTGAAGGAGAGAGGGGGAGGGAAAGAGAGAGGGAGAGGGAGAGAAAGGGGGGGAGAGGGGGGGAGGGAGAGAGGGAAAGAGAGAGAGGGAGACGCACCCGAGAGGGTGAGCACGAGCGAGCTCGCGCACCCGATGAGGAACACGACGCTGACGTTGAGGAGGAGGGCGACGTTGCAGTTGACAAAGAGCGTGATGGGCCCGACCTTGTCGAGGACCTGCTCGATGGGCGCCCAGCCCTCGAACGGCAGGACGAGGAGGCCGTTGAAGACGGCGCAGACCTGCGGGCGCGAGCATGCTCAGTGCGTGAGATCACGAGGTGGAGGACGACGAGAGGGAGGGAGAGAGAGAGAAAGAGGGACGGACCGGGGCGTAGTAGTACAGCGACACGAGCGGGTCCATGCGCAAGCCCTGGAGCAACTTCTGGATCGCGACGAGGCGGGTCGCCTCGAACAGGATCCCGAAGCACTGGAACACGAACCCGCTAAAGACGAACCGGAGCTCGCCGTACGACGCGAGGGCGACGCCGGCCGAGATGCCGATGACGGTCACGGCCTTGCGCTTGTCCCACGTGTCGAGGCCCATCATGACCGACATGCCCAAGACGGCGACCGAGGTGAAGGCCTTGAGCCTGTTGCGGGGTGGTGCCAGAGTCAGTCTCGGTGGTGCCGCTCGAGAGAAGGACGGCCCGTACGCCGCTTGGTCGAGAGGGAGGGGACAGGGTTGGACGCACATCTGGATGAACGAGACCGAGAGCGTGAGGTACGCGAGGTTGGAGAAGATGAGCGACGCCGAGAAGAGGGCGCCGATGGGGACGATCTGTCGGCGCGAGAAGGAGGCAGGAGCTGTCAGCTCTCGTCCGCCTCGTCCGCGACCTGGACACGAGAAAGTGTGAGAGAGGGACGCACGTTCTTGTACCAGCGGTCCCACGACATCTGGACGTTGTCGAGGCCGTCGATGAGGTGCGTGAACCGGCGCATGAGGCGCGTCGCGAGGGTCGCGTACACGAGGTGGGTCGTCTGCGCGAGGGTCGCACGAGTCAGCGCCGCCCGTCGACGCATGTCTCTCTCTCGGGAGAAAGAAGGGTGCGGGACGCACGGTGAGGAAGATCGGGTACCGGAAGTTGAGGTCGCCCTCCTTGTTGCCGCTGCGGGTGCGCGAACGGCGAGGTCAGGTCTCGCTCGGCGAGAGGAGGGGCGAGGAGGAGACGCACAGGATCCAGGCGTTCATGAGGATGACGCTCGACGAGAGGGCGATCCAGATGGCGATGATGGGCGCCGGGTGCATCTTCTTGGGGACCTGCGGGAGCGAAAGGTCAGTGCGGCCGTTCCTGAGGCGGTTGCCAGGATGCAGGGGCTCGTCATGACGGGACAGCTCTGGTCGTCGTACTGCACGTGCGCACGACGGCGCCTGCGAGAGCTCGAGGCATCACCGCCGCGTGCTGCGAGTGCGCGCGCGCTCGACAGGCGTTGGCGCCCTGCTCGACGCGTCTGCGCGCGCCGTGGTGCACCAAGCGACTCGAGACACGCTCGCTGCGAGCCCTGCTGGCCCTGCCCTGCCCAAGAGCGCCCACCGCCGAGTGCCGCACGTGTGCCGCGACGAGGACGAGGAGAGGGAGGGGGAGGGGGACAAAGAGAGGGCGGGACGCACCGCCGAGGTTGCCGACGCCGGTCGAGGGAGCGACTCTTCATCCTCGAGCTGCTCGAGGTCGGCCTTGAAGTGGTGGTCGGGCTGGCGGGTCGAGTCGCGTCCGGCCGAGTGGTCCTCCTCGGCGAGGAGGGCGTCGGCCTCCTGGAGGGCGAGGGCGTCGCGGTCCTCGAGCGTGACCTTGTGGCTCATGGCTGGTAGGGCGGGCTAGCGGGAGCGGTGAGAGGGGCGAGCGAGAGAAGGTTGCGTCGGGTGTCCGCCCTCCTCCTCCTCGCTCCAACACAGCTCGAGGGCACGCCTGCTGTGCATCTTCTGGGCTGCTCGAGCGTCGCTACGACCGCGCTGCGCGCCATCCACCCCTCGCCTGGCCGTCCCTGCCACGGGCGACCACCTCGCCCACACCAGCCGCTCGAGCGACGAGGCGAGCTCGCCGAGGTGCGACGACCGCCATTCGACCTTGTGCCAGTCGAGCGCGGCCAGCCCTGCTGCTGGGCGGCCTCGTCACCGCCTCGCGTGGGACCGTCTCTTCTCGCCTCGCGCTTACCCTGCTGGTGCTGTACCACCGCGCGCCTGCGCCAGCACACCCTTTGTGTGCGCCTTTGCTCCACGCAGAGCTGGCAACCTTGGCGCCGCTCGAGGACGACGGCCCCACCCCCTGGGCTGTCTCGAGCCCGTCGCTCCCTTTGTCTTCGCCGACCTCGCTTCTCTTTCCGGTCGCCGCGCTTCTTCACGCTCGTCTCGCGGCAGCTGCTTCCCCTTGTTCGTCTCGCATTGTTCTGCCAAGGCGGGGGGCTTCTCGCCGTCAGTCGCACAGTGGGACCGCCGCCTCGAGCGCTCAAAAAGCGAAGCGACGCCATGGCCTCCTCTCTTTCTTCCTCACTCGCCCTCCCACCGCGCCCGCGCCTCCACCATGCACTTCCTCCCGACGCTCTCGGCCCTCGTCCTCGTCCTCGCCCTCGCCCTCGCCCAAGCGGCCCCCGCACCTCTCCCGACGCTTGCCCCCGCCCCTGCTGCACCCGACCGCCTCGACGACCGCACCGCGAGCCGCCTCTCGGCCCTCGCCGGCGCCTTTGAGCGCCAGAGCGCCGGCTTGAGCGCCTTTGTCGCCGACGCCTCGTCGTCGCGCGCCTCGGTCCTCTCGGTCGCGAGCGCCGCCGCCGCCGCTGCGAGCCACTCGAGCGTATCCGCCCTGCGCAACTCGATCGTGTCGGCCAACCGCGCAAAGCAGTCGGCCTACGTCGCCTCGTCGCGCGCGTCGGTCGCGTCGGTCGCAGCGGCAGCGGCGAGCCGCTCGAGCGTGTCGAGCGTGCGCAACGCGGTCGTGTCGAGCAACCGCGCGAGGCAGTCGGCGTACGTCAGCTCGTCGAGGGCTGCGGCTGCCGCAGCAGCGACGAGGACGAGCGGCTTCGCGACCGTCACGGCGACGAAAGCGCCGACGACGGCAGCGCCCTGAGCGCGCGCTCTCGGACCTCGAGGTGAGCCTCTCTCTCTCTCTCAAGCGCTTTCTCTCTCTCGGACCCTCTTTCTGACGCGCTCTCTCTCGCAGTGTCTCGACCCAACGTCTTGAGCGAGGTGCGGGACGGACGAGGGCTGGAGAATCGCCTTGTCAATGTCAACCTCGTCGACACTCTCGCACCCTCCCTACTCGCTGTGCTTCTTAATGAGGGCCTGCGAGCGCGTGAGCGATAGCGTCAGTCCCTTCTGCTCGACGGGACCCGCCCGAGGCGCGCCGGCTTGCGACTCGAGCGGGAGAACGAGAGAGAGAGCGAGAGCGGGCTCACCTCGAGGCCGGCCGGGTTGGCGCCCGTCACCTCGCCGAGCTTGTCGCCCGCGCGGAACACCATAAAGGTCGGCATGGCGCGCACGCCGCACTCCTGGGCGATTTGCTGCGGCGCGACGAGAGAGAGAGAGAGAGAGAGAGAGAGAGAGAGAGAGAGAGAGAGAGAGAGACAGAGAGGGTCAGAGGGAGGGAGAGGAGAGGTGAGCGAGAAAGGGGCGCACCTCCTGTGCGTCGACGTCGACCTTGTAGAAGTCGATCGCGCCCGACGACTGCTCGGCGAGGCGCTCAAAGACGGGAGAGATGGCGCGGCTGCAGTCAGGGAGGCGGACCAACGTCAGGGAGGAGGTCGTGGCGCTTGAGAGGGCGAGGGCTCGACGCACCAGGGCCCGCACCTGTCGCGCGCGTGCAAGATGTCAGCTCGTGACACTCGGCGAGAGCGAGAGTGTGCGAAAGAGGGGACGCACCAGGTCGCCCAGAAGTCGATGATGATGGTGCGGTCGCCCTCGAGGAGCTGCTGGAACTCGGCGAACGACTCGATCGGCTTGACGGGCATGGTCGCGGCGCGTGTGGTTCGAGCTGGGTCGGGCGTGTGCAAGGGCGGGGCGGGAAGGCGGGCGCTGTGGCTAGCTCGAGGTGGAGTGGGGAAGGTCGGCGGGTAGGGGAGCGCATGAGGCGAGGTGGGAGTGCTGTAGCGGGCGGGCGAGAAACTGGTGAGCGACGCAGACGTGGAGAAGTAGAGTCTGGCGAGGTGCCGCACGAGCTGTGTGCTGAGGCCGTGGAGAGAGGGCAGCCAAGGTCGGTCGGCGTGGAGGGCGTCGAAGGGCGCGAGGTCAAACCGGGGCGCTCAGGCCTAACGTGCGGCCGTTCGAGCTACACAGAGCACTTGTCGTACACGCCCTGTCGACTCTCGAGGCGCGAAACTCGCGCCGGCGACCACCGCAAGAGCCCGACCGTCTCGCAACTCGCGCTCAGGCCGACGAAGCGAAGCGGTTGCGAAAAGGGAAGAGAGAGGCGGTATCGTTACACGCAGGTGCGATGCAGGAGAGAGATACAGTCACATCTGGATCTAGGTCAGGTCGTCGCTCGAGCACAGGGCCCCTCGCTCGCTCGATCCGTCACTGCTGCTGACACCCGGGCCCGGCGTCCTCGTCCTCGTCGTACGGCCGCCCGTTGCCGTGGTACTGCGCGCGACGAGGCTTGTCAGTAGCTGTCGAGTGCGAGGCATCGACGAGCTTGTGGCGGCAAAGATGGGAGGAAGAGAGGGAGGGGAACGAGGGAGGAACGCGACGACGCACCCACTGCTCCTCATCCTCGGGCTTGTCCCGCTTGTCCTCGAGCTCGACCTCATCCGTCTCCTTGCCCTCCTCGACGACGACGCGCCCCAAGTCGGGCCGGCGCGGCGGCAGCAACCCCCTGAGCGTCTCGACGCCGCCCCGCTCCGCGAGGCCCATGGCCCACTGCTCGTCCGGCATGGCCACCTCGACGCGCAGGAGCAGGTCGCCCCGCGCACCGCGGCGCCACATGCCCTCACCCGGCACGACGACCTCGTCGCCCGACTTGAGGACGCGCCAGCCGCGCTCGCCCGGCGCGGGCTGCGAGACGCGCAAGCCGCGCCCGTCGAGGTGGACGAGGATGAGGCGCGAGAAGCCGAGGAGCGACTCGGAGAGGGTGAGGGACAGGGTCGTCGACAGGTCGGCGGGGCGGTCGGGCCGCGTTGGCGGACACAGGGTGAAGGTCGGGTGCGGCAGAGGGCGGACCGTGATGTGCAGGTCGCCAGGTGCAGAGGAATCGGGCTGTGACGAGGAGCGGGAAGTCAGTCCCGTCGGGCGAGAGAGAGAGAGAGAGAGAGGGAGAGGAGCGAGCGTGAGGACGCACCGACTCGTCTCCCTCGCCGGCTATGATGATCTTCTCGCCAAAGTGCAGGCCGCGCTCGAGGTGGAAGTCGACGCGCTTCTTGTCCTTGACCGTGCGAGCACCCTTGCACTTCTTGCACCTGCGCACGACGAGGAAGGAGAGGTCAGTCGAGGTCGTTGAGGAAGGAGAGGAGGACGGGTCGACGCACGCGTCCTGGTCTCGGACCTTGAGCCCTCGCCCCTCGCACAGCGAGCACCGCACGGGCACGCGCTGGATGTACGGGCCCATCTGCTTCATGGCGTACGTCTGCCCTTGCCCGCTGCACTTGACGCACGGCTTGGCCTGCTTGCCCGGCCGCGCGCCCGAGCCCGTGCACGTGCCGCACGTGCGTGTGCGCTCGACGGCGAGCGTCTTGGCGCACCCGGTGTACAGCTCCTCGAGCGTGACGGGGAGCTCGACCTCGGACGGGGCCGTCTGCGTCTTGCGCCGCTGGCGCGGGCGGCCGCCTGCTCCTGCGCCGCCTGGTGGTGGAGGCCCGCCGAACCCTGGAGGAACACCGCCGCCGCCGCCGAACATCTCGGCGAAGAAGTCCTGGAACATGTCCTCGTCGCTCATGCCGCCCGCCCCACCGCCGCCGCCTCTCGGGCCCTTTTCGCCAAACTCGTCGTAATCGGCGCGCTGATCCGGGTCGCTGAGGACCTCCCACGCGTGCTGGATCTCCTGGAACCGGGTCGGGTCGGGCGGTGCGCCGTCCTGCGTCGACGACTGCTTGTCGGGGTGGTACCGGAGGGCGAGCTTGCGGTAGGCTGTGCGGCGGAGGAAAGGGTGTCAGCGACACGGCTGGGCCGCGAGAGGGTGGCATCAGAAGGCGGACTCGCCCTTCTTGATGTCGGCGTCGGAAGCACCGGGCTGCACGCCTGTAAACGAGGGTGAAGAGAACCAGGGTCAGCGAGATGATGATGAGGAGCTCGAGAGAGAGGGGGGAGGGGAGAGAGAGAGAGGGCTCACCGAGGGCGTCGTACAGCTTTGTGTCTGCGACCATGCAGGGTAGAGTAGACAGCAGCAGGTGCTCGTCCAAGCGAGAGCGAGGTAAAGGAGGAGAGAGACCGTCGGTCGGAGTTGGAGGAGCGCTTGTCCTCACTCTCTCTGCCTCGAGCTACGAGGTCAGGCCCTTGCTGCCACAGTCACCGAGATGGAGCTCGCCTCGGCCCTCTTCTCGTCCGCCGCGTCGTCGCTCGCCGCCGCCCAGAAGGGCTCGCTCGCCTCGTCGTACGCCGTCGACCCGGCCGTGCCACCCGTCCAGGTCGGCGTGTGGAAGGTCCACCGCGCAAAGCACCACTCGAACGGCAAGCTCGTCTCGATCTGGACTGCGGACAAGCACCAGCTCGCCGCCGGTCCCCCTCCCTCGTCCTCGGCCGGCGCGAGGCGAGGTGGGGGGGCTCGCGACCGCACGGCCGACGCAGAGCGCTTTAAGAACGCCGTCGAGGTCCTCAAGAAGGAGGTGAGCACTCTGGTCCGCGAGCCTTGTCAAGCGAGGGCGACGCTGACCCTCCCCTCTCGTCGCCTCCCCTCCCTCTCGCAGGCGTCCTCCCTGTCGAGGTTGCGGCACCCGTGCATTCTCGAGATGGCCGAGCCCATGGAGGAAGGACGGTGCGTCGCCTCTTTCTCTCTGCACGTGCGTGTCGCGCCCGGCCTGACCCCTTTTTGCCTCGCCTCGCAGGTCGACCATCACCTTCGCGACCGAGCCCGTCACCGCCTCGTTGCGCCACGCCATCGACGCCTCGGACGCCGCCCAAGACCCTTCCGGACGCGCGTCGTACCGCCCCAAGACGGAGCAGGACCTCGAGCTCGACGAGGTCGAGGTGCAGAAGGGCCTGTCGCAGCTCGGCAAAGGCCTCCAGTTCCTCCACGAGTCGGCCAAGCTCGTGCACGGCAACCTGACGCCCGACGCCGTCATCATCAACGCCAAGGGCGACTGGAAACTGAGCGGGTTCGGCCAGTCGCGGTACCTGTTTGACCCGCAGGGCGCGCCCGCGAGGTGGGAGTTTCTCGCATTCGACCCGGACCTGCCGACAAGCTGCCAGCGCGACTACGACTACATCGGTTCGTCCCTTCTCTCTCGATTCTCTCGCCCGCATCGGCTGACATGCTCGCCGCACTGCAGCTCCCGAGTACGCCCTCGACGAGTCGCCACCGGCCCCGTCCAACGACATGTACTCGCTCGGCTGCATCCTCCACGCGATCCACACGCACACCGGCCCGCCGTTCCAGAACCGCCACTCGCTCAAAAAGCTGCGCACCAACCTCGAGGAAGGCCTCGGCCTCGTCTCGTCGCAGTGGCGCAAGCTGCCCCAGGACGTCCAGGAGGTCCTCGCGAGCCTCTTGACGCGGTACCCGAACCGGCGCTTGACGGCGCGCCAGTTTCTCGAGAGCAGGTACTTCGAGGGCCTGCTTGTCGGCACGCTGCGCTTCCTCGAGCGCGACTCGTTCGCGTCAACGTCGAGCGAGGCGCAGGCGAGCTTCCTCAAGGGCCTCGTCTCGGTGCGTCTCTTCTCCTTTCTCCCTCCCGATCCTCTCAAGCACCTCCCTGACACTTGCCTGTCCGCCCCGTGCAGGTCCTCCCGAGCTTCTCCGACAAGGTCGTGCGGCGCAAGATCCTCCCCTCGCTCCTCGAGGAGACGCGCAAGGCCAACCTGATCCCGTTCCTGCTCCCCAACGTCCTCTACATCGCGAGCCGCATGACGCCCGACGACTTTCGCCTCGAGGTCCTACCCGCGCTCAAGCCCCTGTTCGCCATCAAGGACCCGCCGCAGGCCGTCGTCGCCCTCATCGAGAACATGGCCACCATCCACGCCAAGTGCTCGCCGAGCGTCTTTCGCGAGGGTCCGTCCCCTCGTCCTCTCTCTCTTCCTGCCCCTCTGCGTACGAGCGAGAACTGACTCGGGGCGAGTGCCGGTGCGCGCAGAGGTCATGCCGCTCATCTACTTTGCGCTCGAGAGCGACAACCCGGTCGTGCTCGAGAAGGCGCTGCGCGCCGTCCCGAGCCTGTGCGAGTCGCTCGACTACACGGTCCGTCTCGCTCTCTCTTCCTTCTCGTCGGCGCCTCTCCGAGAAGCGCACCTGACGCCGACGACGCCCGACACAGACCGTCAAGCAGACCCTGTTCCCCAAGATCACGACCGTCTTCTCGCGCACGACCGTGCTCTCGGTCAAGGTCAAGTGAGTCGCCCCAGCACGTCCGTCACAGAGCGCGGACTGACGTGGCCTCGTACGCCCGCAGCACCCTCATCTGCTTCCACTCGATGATCAAGATCCTCGACAAGTTCACCTTGACCGAAAAGCTCGTGCCGCTCCTCGCCAAGATCAAGACCAAGGAGCCGAGCGTCATGATCGCGACACTCGCCGTCCACGAGGAGATGGGCAAGAAGTGCGAGATCGAGGCCAGTGAGTCCCCCTCTCTCTCTCCCGCCCTCTCCCTCTCTGCGCCGCGTCGACGGACCGTCCCTGACCTCACCTCCTCTCGCCCAGTCGCGACCCTCATCCTCCCGCAGCTGTGGGCCATGTCGATCGGCCCGCTCCTCAACGTCGACCACTTTGCGCGCTTCATGGCCGTCATCAAGCAGCTGTCGACCCGGGTCGAGGCCGAGCACTCGCGGCACCTCGCCGAGCTCAAGCGCCTCGAGGAGAGCAGCGGCGGCGCAGGGGCGCACGGCATGAACGGGCCGGCCAACTCGGGCACGGGCGCCATCAGCGCGGCGGCCGTCACCGACTTTGAGAGCCTCGTCAGGGGCAAGGTCAACGGGACGAGGGTCGAGGGGCTTGCGGCGCGTGGTGGCCAGGTCGACATATTTGCCGACGAGTCGCCGGTGCGCTCCAGCTTTCCCTCTCTCTCTCTCGCCTCCTCGTGCCGACCGACACCTGACCCATCTGCGCGCGCACAGACCCTCACGCCGACGCCGACGGGCATGTCCTCGCCACCTCTCCCTGCTCTCCCCGCCGCCTCGCCCTCCTTCCACACCTCTACCAGCTTCGCCTCTCCCGCCACCGCACAACCTTTGCGCCCAAGCGCGCCTCGCGTCGCGTCGTCATTCGGCTCGACCGCGTCGCTCGCCGCCGCACGACCTCCCGCCTCGCCGTCGTTCGCGCCGCCGCCGCGAGCTGCACCGGTCGCGCCGAGCCCGGCACCTGCGCCTGCGACGGCACGAGCGCCGGCTCTGCGCAGCTTTGCGCCGCTGCAGCCCGGTCCGTCTCGCACCGTCACCTCCTCTTCTCTCGCCTCGACCTCGGCGCACCAGCCCAACTACAACCTGTCCCTCTCGACGACGACGCCCTCCTCGTCCGGCCTCCCTCCCCTACAGCCGACCTCGTCCTCCATCTTCGCCTCACCGCCATCCTCCTCCGTCGCGCCCGCCCAGCCCTCCTGGAACCGCGTCCCGTCCCTCGCGCCGACACCCTCGTACGGCGCCGCAGCAGCAGCCGTAGCAGCACCCTCACCGGCGTTCCCGCCAGGGTACAGCCCGGCCGGAGCGCTCCAGCCGACGGTCGTGCAGCGGCCGGGGCAGCAGAAGAGCGCGATGGACTTTGGGAATTGGGCAGACCTCGACCCGCTGCGCAAGTAGCTCCTCTCCTCTTTTCGAGCAACGAGCACAGTTTGCCGAGCGTGCTCTTTTCTCTCGGACAGCGAGAGAGACACAGCGAGAGAAGGTACGACTCGACTGCAGGAAAGAGAGAGAGAGACAGATCTACAGCGCACGGTCCTCCTTCTCACGACGACGACGTGTACGGCAACGACGGCGGGCCGTCCCACAGCGAGGCGAGGACTCGTCGGTCGCCCGTCCAAGGCTCACGAGCGTGCTGGACCTGCGGGTCGGGGTGTCAGCGACGAGATCGAGCGAGGAAGGGGAACTTGAGAGCGACATCGAGGCGGGCGCACGTAGTGGTTGTCGAGGACGAGGACGTCGCCGACGCGCCAGTCGATCAGGACGCGCGTCTCGTTGATGAGGTCGGCGCACAACTGGAGGTACTCGTGCGGGATGGCGCTCCCGTCGCCGTAAGTCGGGAGGTGGTGGAACGCGCCGTCGGTGCCGAGGAAGGGCGGCTCGAGCGCCTGCCACTTTTGCGCCAGCAGGAACATGGACGTGATGTTGCCAAAGTAGACCGGGACGTGCGTGAGCGGGTGCCGCTTGATCCCCTCGACGTAGTGCACGACCTCGAGCGAACCGTCGTCGTGCCACACCCACTCGCGGGCGTGCCGCTTGATCTGCTGCTCGATCTTGGCGCGCGCCGTCGCCTCGTCGTCAGCCTCGAGGACGCCGGCGTCCGGGTAGGCGCGCGCGATCGAGTTGCCGAGGTTCGAGCCCGGGTTGACCTCCTTCAGGTACCGGTAGACGTAGCGCACGCCCTGTAGGAGAAGTGGGAGCGGCGGTCAGGTCGGGTCGCGCGAGAGAGAGAGAAAGAGGGCGAGCGCACCTTGGTCGCGAGCTCCTCGACGAAGCTGGGCGCCTCGACCTCAAGACGCGCAAAGAGCTCGGCGCCGTTGTTGATCGGCGTCTGTCCTCCACTCGTCGCCTCGCTCAGACCGAAGAAGACGATGTAGTTCGGGTAGTTCGAGCTCCAGCCAAACTCGCTGCGGGAAGAGGGTCAGTGCTCGTGCCGAGGGAGAGAAGGAGGATGAGTGTAGACGCACGAATGGGGAAAGACGGGCGCAGACGCAGGGCCCTCGTTGGCCGTGCTGACGGCCTTGGCGCGCACGTTGCGCACGACCGGGTTCCCGAGCTCGTCGTGCGGCGGGCCGAGCTGCAGCGCGTGGACGATGCGGCTGAAGCCCTCGGCGTCGTCGGCGTGCGTGCCGCGGAACAGGATGGCGCCGCCGTGCTCGTGCAGGAGCGGCTTGAGCTCGTCTTGCGCCGCGAGCTGCTCGAGGCGGTCGACGAACTCGTCGAGTGTCCGGATGGACGAGTCGACCTGGGCGGCCAAGGGGAACTGCTTGCCGTCGGTTGACGTGCCAGCCCAGGGCGCGCCGACGAGGGTGCGCTGGCCGCCGATCGAGAAGTGCGAGAAGAGTGGAGGAGCGACCATGGCGACGAGAAGGAGCGAGGACGCAAGGCGGTGGGAGAAGCGGATTCAGGCTGAGGAGCCGGGGTGCGGCATGCTCGGCGCGTGCTGCAGAGCTCTGCGCGAGCACGAGCTGGACCCTTCTCGCCCGCTGTGCGCCGGTGTGCCGGCCGAGGAGGCGCAAGCCGGCGAGGCGAAGGCGTGCTGGTCTGGGGGAGCCGCAGCGCAGGGGCGGAAAGCGCAGGCCGTCTCGTCCGGCATGAGGTTCCTGCGAGCTGGCTGAGGTGCTCGTGCAGCAGCCCGTGCTGGCCAGTGTGGCGGAATACGACCAAGTTCAACTCGAGAGATGAGGACGACCTCCCTCCCTCTCGCCAGCCTCGCCGCATCTCCGCCTGTGCGAGCGAGATGCACGCCCAGCTGTACTCCAACAAGCTCAGCTCGGCCGACGATCGAGCCGCCCGCGAGCGTTCGTGCTCGCCCTCGTCCTCGCGTGCTTCGCCCCATCGACATCGCGCCTTGTCGAGCTCGTCAGCCTTCCTTGGCGCGAGGGCGGGCGTTTCTGCGGCCTGAGCTTCGCCAGCATCTTGCTCCCGTTCCCTGTCCACCGCTGCTCGCCCCGCCGCCGTCGCCATGTCGACCTCGCCGACCTCCCTCGAGCGCACCCCGTCCTCGCTCGACGAGAAGTTGCCCATCGAAGCTGGTGCGCCGGCAGTCGAGGCGCAAGGAGGACAGAAGCGCAGCTGGTACCGCTCGCCGCTGTGCCAGGTCAACATCGTCGGCGCGTGCGCCTTTCTCTCGCCAGGTCCGTCCCCTGTCCTCCTCACTCTCGCCCTCCCTCGTTGCCGGTCCTGACTTCAAGCGCCCCGGCAGGCCTGTGGAACTCGATGAATTCACTCGGCGCAGGTGGTGGACAGGAGCCATGGCTCGCCAATGCCGCCAACTCGATCGTGCGTCCTCCTCCCCCTTCCTCTCTCTCGCTCGGCTCGAGCGCAGCACCTGATGCCCGCCCATCTCCCGACACAGGTCTTTGGTCTCATGGTCCTCACGTGCCTCCTCGGCTGTAAGTGCCCCTGGGGCAGCTCTCCTCCTCGCCCAGCTCCCCCCCTCGCCCCCATTTCGAGTACTGACGGGACCTCTCGCTCCGCAGCGTCCATCACAACCGTCACGGGCTACCGCTGGGCGCTCTGCCTCGGCGCCATGGGCTACGCTCCCTACGCCGGCGGCCTCGTCTACAACCTCAACACGGGCGCGACCTGGCTCGTCTACCTCGGCTCGGTCACCTGCGGCTTGAGCGCCGGCCTCTTCTGGAGCGTCGAGGGCGCTATCGCGTTGGGCTGTACGTCCCTCCTCCTCCTTCCTCTCGTCCTCCTCTGCGCTGTCGCTGAACCAGCCTTTGTCGACCCGCAGACCCGGACCCGTCGCAGCGCGGCATCTTTCTCGCCATCTGGCTCGCATGGCGCAGTGCGTCTCCTCCTCGAGCCCCACCCGTCGCTCTCGAGCGACACCGTCGCTGACTCTCGGCTCCCCCAGATGCGGGCCAGATCCTCGGCGGCGCCATCAACCTCGGGCTCAACGCCAAGGGGAACAAGATCGGCGCCATCTCGCAAGTGACCTACTACGTCTTCATCGCGCTGCAGTGCGTCGCGCCGCTCGTCGCCATGTTCCTCGTCAGTGCGTCCTCGTGTCCCTCCTCTCGTCGAGCGTCCTCGCGCTCGAGCGTCGCCCTGACCGCTCTCCTCTCGCGTCGTCCTGACCGCTGTCCTCTTGCGCACAGACCCCTCCCAGGTGCAGCGCAAGGACGGAAAGCCGGTGAAAATGGAGGAGCATATCGGGTTCTTGAACGAGATGCGCGAGATGTGGGCCCTGATGTGCCGGCGCGAGGTTCTGTGGCTGTGCGTCGGGCTCGTCCTCTCCCTCCCTCTCCCTGCGATTGACCTCGTCTCTGCCCGCCAGGCTCCCGATCTCGCTGTACGCGCAGTGGACGTCGCCGTACATCAACAGCTTCCTCTCCCTCTACTTCACCGTGCGGGCCCGGTGCGCCTTTCCTTTCTCCCCCCCTCGACGACCTCTCGCGCTCCAGCACTAACCCTCACTTTCCGCGACAGCGCCCTCGGCTCTCTCGTCATCGCCATCCTCGGCGTCGTCTTCAACTTTGCGCTTGGCGCGTTCTTGGACAACGAGCGCTTCACAAAGAAGTTTCGCGCGCGTGCCTCATACCTCATGATCATGGTCAGCCTCGGCGGCGTCTGGATCTGGGCGACCGTCATCCAGGTGCGCCCTCGCTTTCTCACCCTCTCTCTCTCGGTCCAGGCGTGGTGGAGAGGCCTGTCGAGCTCACAGACGCCGCTCGCCCGCAGTTGCGTTTCCTCGACCACAAGCCGAGGCTGGACTGGACCGACGGGCAGCGCTTTGCCGAGGCGTGGATGCTCTACGTCCTTTTCTACATCACCTACTTCGTGCGTGCCTGTCCCTCTCCTCTCCCCTCGTACTCCCTCCCTCGCACTCCCTCCCTCGCGCCCGCTCGTTCCCCCTCTCGCCTCCTCCCCTCCTCTTCCTCCACTTGGTCTCGCTCACTCTCTTCTCCCGGGCAATAGACGCTTCAGAACAACCTGTACTGGGTCATCGCGTCGACGGCCCGAGCGCCGCACGAGCTCATCCGCCTGTCGTCGTTCCTTCGAGGCGCCGAAAGCGCCGGGTCGGCGTGCGGGTACGCCCTCACGGCGTCCAAGAACCTTCCGCTCACGGTGCCGCTCTCGATCGACTTTGCGCTGTGGGGCGTCGCCATCACGACGGCGTGGATGACGGTCAAGGAGGTGGGCGTGTCGCTCGGGATCAGGGAGGCCGAGGAGGAGGAGTAGCTTTTGGTCATGTCGGTCGGAATGTCATGCTGGTGATTAGGGAGTGCTCGGTCGAGACAGAATGCTCGAAAGGGAGCGTCGTCGAGAGCCTGCGAGGCTGTCAGAGCGGTCGAGGAGAGCGAGAGGACCTTCACGGTCTCTCGCTTGCCCTCATTCTCGTCTCTCGTCGCCAGAGACCACGAGCTGCTCACCTGAGCTTTCGCACGCTATGGACGACATCCCTGCCAACACGCGGCGGTACACGAAGCGCCAGGCGGGCGACCTCATCGCCTCTTCTCTGGATGCCGTCGTCCGCGACCCTCTCGGCGGTGCGAGGGCCAAGAAGCGCAAGACGAGGTGCGTCACACTCGCTCGGTCCGTGTGCACAGCCCAGGGCACTGAGGGGCTCACCGCGTGGCGCGCCCCTTGCAGCACCCCCACCCCGAGGACGTCGACCCCGGCACTCGAGGCCATCCTCTCGCGCTCGAGCACGCACAAGCCGCCGGCGAGCAGTGCAACAGCACCGACCAACTACGACCCGTCGTCCCTCCCGGCCCTCCTCGCCCGCCTGTCGACCTACCGCCTCTCGACCTTCTCCCCCTCCAAGCCCTCGTCCCTCTCGTCCCTCAACTGCGCCCTGCATGGCTGGATCCACACACCATCGTCCCGCGAGCGCATCCAATGCACCACCTGCGCCCAGGGCCTCGTCCTCCTCCCGCCCTCGAACGGCGAGAGCTGGTCGAGCCCGACCGGCGACCGCCTCCGTCTCGAGTACGAGCGCCTCGCGCTCGCGCCGACCGGCCACGGACACGCCGAGAACTGCCCATGGCGCATGCGGCCGTGCGTGCGCGGGCTGTACCGCCTCGCGGGCGGCGGGCTCGGCGTGCAGAGCGGCGGGAGGAGGCGGTTCCTCGAGACGGTCGGGCGGCAGGCGCGCGAGTTGAGCGAGCGAGGGCTCGATGCCGTCACGCTCGAGCTGCCGAGGGAGGCGGCGGCACTTGTCGAGTCGGAGGAGGGCCGGGCGAGGCTCGTCAAGGCGGTGCAGGCGGTCCAGGCGGGCGCAGGAGCCGCACCCGCCGTCGGCGTGAGGACAGACGAGGCCGCCTCTCTCGACGCGACCGCCATCCTCCTCGCCGTCTTTGGCTGGGCCCTCTCCACCACGCCCTCGCCCTCGACCCTCTCTCGCTCCGACTCGACCTCCTCCCTCTCATCCCTCCGATCCCTCTCGACCTCCTCGACCTCCTCCTCCTCGCCCATCCTCGCCTGCTCCTTCTGCGTGCGACACATCCTCGCCACCCCGTACCTCCCCTCACCTGCCGGCACCGCCACCACCACCACCAGCACCACGACGCCCTCCTCCACGCCGAGACCGTTCGACCCCGTCAAGCAGCACCAGCCCTTCTGCCCGTTCGTCGACGCCCACGCCGGGCACTCGCCGCCCGTCGCCGCGCCGCTGAGCGCAGGAGCAGGAGCTGGATCGGGAGCTGGAGCCGGAGCTAAGGGCGCGAGCGTGCTCAAGCCGGGCTGGCAGGTCCGCCTCGAGGCAGTGCTGCAGCGCCCGGCGGGCGCGGCGGCGGCCCCGGCTGGTGCGCAGGCGGGCGCCGAGGGGGAGCAGGACGGGTCACGTCGTTGACCTCGGCGGGAAAGGTGCGTCTCTCTTTCCCTCTTTCTGTCTCTCCTCGACTCGTCCGGCGAGCCCTCGGGGCGACACTCGCTCACTCGATTTCCTCTCGACCGCAGACCAAGGAGCTCCTGTCGTACGTGCGGGGCTTGCTTGGGCCCAAGGGCACGCCCCGAGGCGGCGCGGCGAGCGTGCGCGTCGGTACGACGAGTGCTGGACGGTCGGCGTAGCGTCGTAAGGAGGTCGTGTCGGCGCCAAGCAGTGACGGTCCGGAATCGACTCGCAGCACTTGACCTCGCGGTGCGAACGAGCGTCAGAGAACAGAGGAAAAGCGAGAAAGAGAAAGAAAGAGAGAGAGCGCGAGACGCTGAAAGAGCATCCCGCCGTCGCTCGCAGCTTGAGCGGTCGCCTGCCCGCTCTCGGCTCGCGGTGCCTCTCCCCGACTCTTCTCCCTGGGCGCCATGACCAAGCGAGACGCGCGCGGAACGAACGAGATGCAGCACAGACCCTCACTCTAAACCTCGTCCTCAAAAACCGACGTCGCCACCATCCGCGAGTGCGTAAAGTACACGCCCGGACCAAAGTGCACCTTGTCCGTCATGTAGTCCTCGACCGACTCGGTCGTGTGCCAGAAATCGAGCACGTCGAGCGGCGCAAGGTTGGGCAACCTCGCCGCTGGCGGCACTGACTCGCCATCAGGCCAGGTCAGGCCTCGCGCCGCGAACGCGCGCAGGATGGCGAGGTTCTTGTCGTGGAAGTTGTCCGAGTGACAGATGCGGAGCATGCCGGCCGTGACCTCGGGCGTGTCCTGCGACTGCAAAAGGAGAGGAGGAGGAGGAGAAGGGGGGAAGGGGAACGTGCGTCGTCAGATGGCTGTCGTTACGGGACGCGCTGCGGCCGCTTCTGTTGGGAGAGAGAAGGACAGAGAGAACGAGAGCGCACCTTGAACTTGCGACACGACTTTGCCGTCGAGAGGCCGAAGGAAAGACGCTTCTGCGGGCTCAGGACGTTGGCGGCCTCGAGCGACGAGAGGCGCTCGGCCGCAGCGACGATCTGGTCGACGTACGGCTCGACGTCGTCGCGTGTGTGCCAGACAGCGTGCGAGCCGTACGAGAGGAAGACACGGTCGCCGCCTCGAAGCGCGAGGAGGTCGGGTCGGTCGGCGAGGATCGTCTGGATCGGCGACAAGGTGTGGCGAGGGTCCTCCTCGACAGGCGTGAAGAGGCCACCGAGCGTCGAGTTGGCCCAGTAGGCGTTGGCCTCGTCGTCGAAGTGGGCCGACAGGGGAGGTGCGTGCACGGGCGTGAACCATTCCCACGAAACGACGACGTCGTCCTGCGGGTCGCCGTCGGCGAGCCCAACTCGACAGAACCGCCGAGTCGCACGCGGGTTACGCTGTCGGGCGCTCGGCGAGTCGTACACGGCGCCGCACGCCGACCGGAGCGTGTACTCAACCCCTTTGCGGATCGACCAGAACCCGTGTTTGACGGGTCGACGAGCGGGAACGACTCGTACAGGTACCGCGTGTTCGAGTCGCCGACGAATCGCAGCCACCGTACGCCGGCGTCGACGGCGCGAGCGAACGCCTCGGCGGGCGTCGGGAGGGGCTCGAGCGCGCAGACGTGCTGTTTCTCGTAGTCGCCTCGGGGCGTCGCCGGGACTGGCGCCTCGGCCCACGAGCCGCGCATGTCGAACAAATCACCATAGCGACAAGGCCGCTTCGACGGCGAGGACGACAGGGCCGGCAGGCTCGCTGTCCAGCTCGGCCGGACGACGACGGTCGCGTTGCCGCCTGCGACGACGCGGTCGATGTAGCGCGCGCCCGTCATTCGCACGACCGACATCTCGCAGAAGAAGTGCGGGTCGTTGAAGAGGCGCAGGAACGCCTCGATGCGGTACTTGCCCGGCTCGTCGAGCTGGACGGCAAAGACGAGCGACTGGCCCGGGGCGTCGACGAGTTGCGCACGCTGGAGGCGCGAACCCGAGACGACGACCGAGAAGACGGAAGATCGGAGCAGGCACTCGGGTTGAACCTCGGCTGTGGCGACGACCTCGAGGTAGAGCGGCGCGCCGGCCGTGACCGACTCGCGGACGGGCAGGAGGCGAAAGAGCTCGTGAGGCTCTGTGTCGAGGTCGGCGCCGCTCAGGGTACATGCTGGACCGTCTTGATCCTTGCACGTCGCGTTTGCGCCATCGACGAGGTACTGGTGGACCGAGGCGAGCGCGGAGGGAGGTTGGTGCTCGTGGCGGACGCCGTACAGCACGGCCAGGGTGACGAGGGCGACAGCGAGGAGGGCCAATCGAATGTAGCTCGTCTTGCGCAAGCTTCGAGGAGGGAGCGACGTAGGTAGGCCGCCGAGAAGGGGCTGTAATCCGACGCCAAGAGAGGGTGAGTGAGCGCCGAGCGCGAGAGGACGGTGCGCGCTCCTGCCGCCAGACCTGCAGAGTGAACGCGCACGCACCAAGCTTGATGCCATGGCTGTATCGACACGTTGGCCGCACAGCGAGCGTGGTCCTTACGCGCGAGCAAGGTGGCTCGCTGCGGCGGACGCAAAGGCGCGACGACGGACCCGCCGAGCGGACCGAGCGGGCTCCAGCTTGCGCCGCGCGGGCACAGGGAAGCGCAGCATTGCCCACAGCGCGGCGAGCTCGAGTCTGACGAGCCCTCGAAACCGAGAGTGGGAAGGCGCGCAAGCAGAGCCAGCTTGGTGAGGGCGGGCAGAGGGGCCCGAACGCCCGGGCTTGGCGCGACGTCGACTGCGCTTTATCGAGGACTGCTTGCTCGAACACTCGTCGACGCCGGTCCGGGGACATGTCGGTCTGACGGGATCTGCCTGCAGAAGCGGTGAGGCGGTGCGCGCAGGGGTTCTCAAGCCAAGCTTCCCGAGCGAAACCGACCCGTCGACTTTCGGCAAGTGCGAGAGCGAGAGTTCGAGCGAGGGCGGGATGCACTTATCTCTTCTTGCCGCTCGCAGAAGGGATGCAGAGCGCATCCGAGCAGTGGACCCTCACAGAGAGACGGAGCGAGAGAGTGCTCAACGCGAACGAGAGAGTGAGAGGTGCTCGTCGCTCAAGAGCGGCGATGCCGACGAGGCTGCGGCGCACGGACCGTCTCTCCCGGCACACTCTCGCGCGCGCGAGGGAAGAACGAAAGAGGAAGACGAGATGCACTGCAGGCCAGCTGCCGCTACACCTCGTCGGCGAACCAAGACGTCGCGACTGCCCTCGAGTGGACAAAGTACACGCCCGGCCCAAAGTGCACCTTGTCCGTCATGTAGTCCTCGATGGCCTCGGTCGTGTGCCAAAAGTCGAGCACGTCGAGCGGAACGCGGTTCGTCGTCGTCGACGACGACGAGGCGGCGGGGAGCGACTCGCCGTTCGGGCCCGACAGGCGCCGTGCGGCAAACTCGCGCAGGATGGCGAGGTTCTTGTCGCGGAAGTTGTCCGAGTGACAGGTGCGCAGCATGGCCGGCGTGATCTCGGTCGCGTTCTGCGAGGGGAGGAGGGGGAGGAGGGAAGGAGGGCCGACGGAGGGTAGGACGCGAGGGTTAGTCAAGGGCGTGCAGGACGAGGAAAGTGAACGAGCGACGCACGCTGAACTTGCGACACGACTTGGTCGTCGACAGGGCGAACGAGAGCCGCTTCTGCGGGCTCTCCGGGTCGTCGCTCTCGAGCTCGGCGAGGCGCTCGGCCGCGCTCTCGACCTCGTCGACGTACCGCCCGACGTCGTCGCGCGTGTGCATCATGGCGTGCGAGCCGTACGACAGAAAGACGCGGTCGCCGCCGCGCAGCGCGAGGAGGTCGGGCCGGTCGGCGAGGACCGACTCGATCGTGGCGGCGCTGTTGCGCGGGTCGAGCTCGGGCGCGCCGAGGACACTGCCGAGCGTCGAGTCGGTCCACAGGGGGCTCTTGGTGTCGACGCCGTCGCCGTCGTCGCCGTCGGCAAAGTAGGCGGCAAGCGGCGGGTCGTGGATCGGGGTGAACCACTCCCACGAGACGACGAGGTCGTCCTGCACGTCGCCGTCGACGAGCCCGACGCGGCAGAACTTGCGTGTAGGTCGCGCGTTGCGCTGTTGCCGGCTCGGCGGGTCGTACGCCTCGCCGCACGTCGCGCGCAGGTCGTACGGCGGGTCGGCGCGGTAGTTGCGCAGGGCCGACGACGCCGGGTCGACGAGCGGGAACGAGTCGTACAGGTTGCGCGTGTTCGAGTCGCCGAGGAAGCGCAGCCACCGGATGCCGTGCGCTCGCGCCTGCGCGAACGCCTCGGCGGGCGTCGGGAGCGCCTCGAGGGCGCAGTCGCGGGCCTTCTCGAAGACGCCCTCTATCGACGCCGGGACGGGCGGCTCGAGCCACGCGCCGCGCATGTCGTACAGCTCGCCATACCGGCACTGGCGCTCTGGCGCCGACGGCGCGGCGCCGGTCGAGGTCGGGAGGACGACGATGGTCGTGTTGCCGCCGGCGACGATCTGGTCGACGTACCGGCCCTCGCCGCGCGCCGCCGACGCGTCGCAGATCGCGAGCGGGTAGTTGAAGAGGCGCAGGTACGCCTCGATGCGGTACTCGCCCGGCTCGTCCATCGTGACGGTCGACAGGAGCGACAGGGCGGACCCGCCGCCGTTGGTCGCGTGTGCGCGCTGGATGCGCGGGCCCGAGACGCCGATCGCAAAGATGGACGAGCGTAGGAGGCACTCGGCGCTCGCGTTGGACGTCGCGACGATCTCGAGCAGGAGCGGCGTGCCCGCCTCGACCGATGCGGCGACGGGCGCGAGGCGGAACAGGTCCTGCGGGGCCTGGGCGAGGTCGATGGCGCTCAGGTCGCACGCGGCGACGTCCTGGTGCGCACAGGCTAGCGCGGCGCTGTCGACCGGGTAGCCCTGGACGGGCGCGCGCTCGACATCGGGCTGATAACGTCGGTGCGCGGCGAAGAGGCCGACCAAGGTGAGGGCGACGCCGACGGCGGCAAAGATGCGGCGTGCCTTTGGGGTCGATGCTCGAGGAGCAAGAGGGATGCCGTGCGCGCTAGTCGGGAGAGGCTGCGGGGGCACAGCGAGAGTGAGTTGGTCGTGGACGTCGACCGCCGCCAGCCAGCACAGCCACCGTGACTGAGAAACGAGGGGGACGCACCGTGTAGCTGGACGCCATCGAGACGCGCTGTGCTTGCGCTGGACGAGAGCTGCTGCAGGCGGTGCTGGGCGAGGGACGGGGGAGGTGGTGGAGCGCGACGGCGAGGGAGCTGGCTTCTCGAGCAGCTTCTCGCGCGTGTGCGCCTGGCGGCGATGGCGGTCGCGGTTGGGATTTCCGTGCACGCGTGGGAACCGCATGCTGCCCGCAGCCGCAGCCGCGGAGCGCGCTAAACAGGGCGACCGCGGGGAAGCTCAGAGGGCAAGCGACGTGCGCGAGGTTCCGAAAGCCTCTCGTCACGCCAGGTTTCGCACTTTCGCAAGGCATTCGAGGTTGCTCGCGAGCTGCAGCTTTCGAGGCTTCGAGTGCACCCACAGGCTGGTGCACGCTGTGTAGCGCCGACCGTCGAGCGTCGAGTGGTGAGCGATCGCCGCCGCGACGCGGGCCGACCGGCCGGCGGCCGACTTCATCGCGTCCAGCCTAGTCTCCACCACGCCTGCTCGCCCCGATGAGCTCTGCGCGCCGGGTGCGCAACCGCGCAAAGGCCCTCGTGCTCGGCGTCGTCGTCCTGTGCTGCTGCGCCGTCTCGCTGCCGCGCCTCCTCGGCTCGCGCTCGTCGTCGGCCGTCGACCTGCGCGCGTCCATCGTCCTCACGGCGTACGAGACGACGGGCTTGCGGCCCGACTGGCTGCGCGAGATCTGCGAGCGCTACTCGTCGCCGGACTACGCCGCCCTCGTGCGCGACGTCGTCCTCGTGTGGAACAACCCGGCCGCGCAGCTTCCTCCCGGGATTCCGTCGACGGTCAAGGTGATTCGCTCGAGGGAGAACAGCCTCAACAACCGGTGCGTCCCGCTCTCTCTTCTGTGCTTCGCTCCCCTCGAACGAACCGCTGACAAGCTCGACCTCGGCAGGTGGCTCGCGGCGCAGCACGTCGACAACCCGGTCGTCCTCGCGCACGACAACGACCTCGTCCTGAGCCAAGTGCGCCTCCTCTCTCTCGAGAATCCAGCTCTCTGCGCGCAAAGCACTGACAGGTCCCCTCGTCGCAGGCCGGCATCCGGTGCATGCTCAACGTCTGGCGCGACCACCCGGACCGCCTCATCGGCCCGTACGCCCGTCAGCGAGTCGATCTCGACTACATCCTCGACGACCTCGTGTCGCGACCTGCGCCGTACCACTTTGTCCTGCCTCGGGCCCTCGTCGGCGCGTCGTCGGCCATGGCCGAGTACGGCGCTCCCGAGCTTTCCGACCTGCGCGACTACGTCGACACCCAGGCCGTTGCGTCCTCTCCCTCTCGCTCCGCGTCCTGTCCGGACTGACGTTTCCTATCGCTGCAGGCCCACTGCGACGACCTGCTCCTCAACCTTGTCGTCGCCGACCGGACACAGCTCCCGCCGCTGCGTGTCGCCCTTCCGCCGTCGAGCGTCAACGACTACGCCACCGTCTGCAGGTGCGCCCCCTCTCTCCTTCCCTCTCCCTCACTCTCACGACGTCGACTGACTCGCTCGGCCTCTCGCCCCGCAGCCCGCTCGACCGCACGCTCTCGTCGGGCCTCGCCGACCAGGGCTCGCGCGCGCAGCTGCGCACGGCGTGCATGCAGCACTTCCTGTCGGGCCCGCACTTTTCGCCCGACGTCTCGAGTCCGTCCAACGCCAAGATTGCCGTCTGTGCGTCGCGCACCTGTCCCCCTCTCTCTCGGTCGGCGGCGACAGGGGCTCACCTCGTGATGTCGACCTTGCAGGCAGCGACGACGGCGCGTCGTACAGCATGTCGAGGCACGTCAGCCTGCGACGGTGGCGCGAGATGGAGAATGGCACGGCGGCGGCGCTCTGTCCCGAGCTCGCGTGCGTCCCCCGTCTCTCGAACCTCCTCTCGCGAGCGAGCGAGCCCAGTCCCTGAATGAGCTTCTTTCCGGGCCCGCAGCGCGCAGCACCTCCCGCCACCGCAAGCTGTACCCGCCATCAGCTTGCGCGCCGAGCTCGAGGAGTACTGCCCGGCGGTCGACCGCGCCCGCATCGAGTGGATCGATGCGCTCGTCGACCTCAACGTGTGCGGCGCGGCCAAGGACGACGCGCGGGATCCGGGGCTCGTGCCCTCGGCGCAGCACCAGTGTGGTGCATGGTCCGTCCTGCCCGTTCACCGCCTCCTCGAGCTCGACTCGCCCCGGCGTACCCGATACGGCGTGACCTGACCTCTTCCTTCCTCCCTTCCTGCCCCTTCCCTCCTTCTCTCTCTCTCGTTTTGTTGCGCAGGTGCGTCTGGGACCTCCGACAGCCGACTCGAGCCGGGTGGCGGCTGCACGCGGGCGACTGCTGGGAGCGGTTCGAGGAGGGGCACGCCGAGTGGTGCGACGAGTGGTTCTGGCAGCGGCCGCGGTTCGACCTCGACGACTCGGAGGACTCGTAGCGAACTTGTGCAACTAGACTGTAGCTCCCTCTCTCTCTTCTCTCTTGGAGTTCTCGAGAGAGGGGGTTGGTCGGCGCGAGCGAGAGAGCGACCCGTTTGCGAAGGTCGACGCACGAGCCTCTCGACGACGACGATCGCAAGGAGTTGACCCGACTAGCTCAGTCAGACGAGTCACTCTCGGCTGCAAATTTCCTCGCGCTCTCCGTCTCTCGACACGTGCGCGCTCGAAAGAAGGAGGAAGGAGAGAGAAGAACGAGCGCTGCATGCGATAAAAAATCCTGTACAACCGGGACCGCCCGACACATTCTAGGCAAACCCAACCTGCGAGTCGACGAGGAGCGAGCGTGAGTGAGGCCTCGGGGAGGTGCGAGGCGAGATAGAAAGGAGGAAGAGGACGGACCGATCAAGCCACTGCATCTTTGCTCCCGTGCCACGTCTTCCACCCCTTGTCGCACCCTTGCGGACCCTTCATCATGAGCGCCCTGCGCGAGGAAGACGAGGGTCAGTCGAGGTCACAGAGAGGGAGAGAGGGAGAGAGAAGAGAGAAGAGAGAAGAGAGAAGAGGACGCACTTGCCGCCCGGCGTGTCGCAAAAGTCGGTGAGGACGGGGCTGTCGTCGAGGTCGACCTCGGGGCTCTGCAGGTCGGCGTACGCGGCGAGCATCTGGGCAAACTGCTCCATGGCGGCCTGCTTGCTGAGGTACGCCTCGGCGAACGCGATCGCGTTGCGCACGATGAACTTGGCGTGGCCGTCGTGCGCTCGGAGCCACTCGACCTTGGCCGGCAGGTCGGCGAGGTACTCGTCGACGGGGACGTAGTGCACCCACGGGCGCAGCGTCGGCTCAAAGTTGCCAAAGTACGGCGAGTCGACGAAGAACGGGACGCTGCCGCTCTGGAGGAGGCCGACGCGGCGCGACGACCCGAGGCCGCCGTCGACGTCGATGATGTATTTGTACCCGCTCTGCTCGACCATCGAGAGCGGCTCGGCCTCGGTGAGGTTCGACATGGTCTGGATGCGCGACGCCGACGGCAGCTCGAAGAACGAGCGGCCCTTGGCAAAGTCCTCGCTCGTGAGCGGGAGCATCTCCTTGGGCCGGAACTGGGTCAGGCCGGCGTCGATCAGGTGCGGGTACTTGTGGCTCAACTCGGCGAGGCGGATGCGGTTGTTGGTCTGCCAGTTGTCGACGCCGAACGAGAACGACGCCGAGCCGCGAAAGACGACCTTGTCGACCTTCTCGTCCCACGAGTGCAGCTCGGACCGGGGTGGCCACACGTAGTTGCCGTTCGAGCCGTACGCGGGAGGATCGGGGATGGGGACGTCGAGGTGCAGGGGCGACGAGCGCAGGCCGAACAGGAGGTACCCGGCGTCCTTGCTGAGCGTGTCCTTGGTGACCTGGGGCGAGTCGCCGACGCGGAAGACGGCGTCGAACCGGACAGGCTCTGTCGACGCGTAAGGACGGGTCAGCTCGAGAGCTCGTGCGACCGAAAGAGCCCGAGTAGGGAGAGAGGGGGGGGGAGGAGGAGGAGGAAGAGGAGGACGCACCGGGCCTGCCGTTGACGGTCCTCGTGAGCATGCCGGCGTCGGCCATCTCGCGGATCGTGTCCATGATCCAGTGCAGGCGCTGGATGCGGTACGTCTGGCCGAAGTGGACGAGCGGGCGGTACAGGATGTCGGTGCCGGTGAATCGAATGCGGTACGACCCGCCCTTGCCGAGCCACTCGAGCGCGCTCAACGACTGGGGCGTGACGGGCTTCTTGCAGAAGCTCGACTCGTCGTCGTCGGCGAGGCACCGCCACGGCGCAAACAGGCGGTCGACGTGCTGCCGATAGTGCTCGGCGGGCGGACGACGGTAGAACGACGAGGGGACGCTGATGTCGACCGTCTCGACGCCGCCGAGTCGGTCGGGGACGTGCACGTACGGCGTGCGCAACGCGAGGTGCGCAAACAGGAGGCCGCACGCGACGAGGACGCCGGCGATGAGGTACCGTTGCCGGCGGAGGTGACGGTGGACGAGCAGCTCGGACACGGGCCGGCTGCTGGACAGCTGCAGCATGGTCGAACGCGTGCGCGTGGGCGTGTGGGCCGGCCTGGCGATGCGCGGCGGCGGCGGCGGCGGCGGCGGCGGAGAGGTGAGCGAGAGGAGGTGGGACGACGGGCGGCGACGCGGTGCTTGTCGACGCCCGGCGGCTGTGAGCTCGCTCGAATTCGTCTGGAGCCATTTCGGCGCCGAGAAGCCGCCCCGCACCGTTCGGGGCAAAGCACGGTCAAACCTGGGGGCGCGTCGAGCGCCTCCCTGAATCGGGGCATCAATGTCAATCCGGCCCATCAATTGCGTTCCGTTCGGCCCGAGCCGCTCGAAAAGGCGACGCGACGCGAAGCCTTTCGCTTTCGGGCATTAACCCTCTCGCGAGCATCACACGTTCATGTGAAGAGGACCGTGCGCAGCGAGGAGGGCAGAGGGGAGTGCTCGTGCGCGCCGGGAGCAGCATCCGTAAGCGGCGATAGATAACGACGAGCAGCCAGCTTGCACGACGCGAAGTCAAACCTTCGAGCTGCTGCGGGTTGCAATTGCGATCGAGAGCCGCAGCCTCGCGCAGGGGAACGTGCGCCGGCTCGAGGAAGAGCTTCAGGCGAGCCTTCTGCCGACCGAAGCTGCGCGAAAGCTTCGACGACTGAGGCTCGTATGTACACTCGCGTTCGGCACGGCGAAAGCGAGAGCCAGGGTCACGAAGCCTGCGCGAATCGCCTTCTCGAGCGTGCACGGGCCTGCGGCACAGCTTGCCAGCTCCTCGCACAGGAGCGACGAGCGTGAGACTCAGTCGTCGTGCAGCGTCGTGCACCGTCTCAGCATGGCTCACCCTGCGAGTACTGCGCGAGCGCGCGAGAGAGCGACGGCGGCCAGATCTGCGAAGAGGAAAGGCTCGCCGCTGCAGCTGCTCACTCGACCTCGCTCGGGCACGAGCGACGCTACCGGTACAAGGGAGGGAAGGGCCGCAATAGCTTTACAACCGAGGAGGAGACAAGTCTAGTAAGGGAATCTATTAGGTTACTGCTTCTGCTTGCCCAGCGCCAGGGCCTTCTGCCGCTCTCCCTCCTGCGAGACGAGGCAAACGAGGGCAAGGTCAGTGACGTGCCCTCACGAGAGAGAGAGAGAGAGAGGCGGGACGCACCAGGATGTCGTCGAGGTCCTCCCAGGGCACCTTGCGGAACTTGTTCGAGACAAACTTGCGGACGTGCTCGGTCGACGACACGAGCGTGTCGCGCCCAAAGAGGTCGATGAGGTCGCCCGTGCACGTGTCGCGGCGCATCGTGAACGCGGCCGAGATCGAGATGCCCTGGGACGTGCCAAAGTCGAGCACCTCGTCGTCGTGGACGCACACGGGCGAGGCGCCCGTCATGCCCGACACCATCATGTTCATCGCGATGTCCTCGCAGTTCTTGCCGTAGTCGACGTAGCGGTGGACCTCGGGCGGCATGACGCACGTGTAGGCGTGCAGGCTGCGAGGAGCGAGGAAGGTCAGGTCTCGGCCGCACAGGCAGCGACGACGAGGGAGAAGGGAAAGGCGGGACGCACAAGTTGGCGTTGATCATCATTCCCTTTGTGAGGATGATGTCGTACTTGTGGTGCACGCCGGCCATCTCGTAAAAGATCGAGCCGTCCTCCTTGCGGCCGTGGATGCGAGGGAAGAAGCCCGCGATCGAGTCGGGCCGCGCCTGCCACACGCTGAACAGGAAGTCGATGCCGGCCGCCGGCGCAAAGATGTCGTCGTCGCAGATAAAGACGGCCTGCGTCTTGAGGCCCTTGATCGGGTTGAACCGGTTGTTGAGCGTGTCCGAGTCCATCTTGAGGATGGCGACCCGGCCGCCGGCGACGAGGTCCTTGATGTCCTTGGGGACGGGCACGCTTGCCGAGTGCCACGTGATGAAGACGGTGTGGACGCTGTCGGCACGAGAGAGAAAGGCAAGGGAAGGGTCAGGACCGGGATCTCCTCGAGGGAGGCGAGAGAGGGAGAGGAAGAGAGAGGGGCGAGGACGCACAGGTCCGACAAGAGGTAGTGCCCGATGAGCTTGGTGAGGTAACCGAGGCGCTCCGGGTTGTAGAACGAGATCGCGACCGAGTACTGGTCCTGGACGGGGAACTTGCCGTCCGTCTCGTACTTGGGGTTGTACTTGGAGCAGATGTCGTATGCGCGGTGCGTGTTGGGCCACTCGTACGCGGCGAGCTCGGCCTTGATCGGGACGTCGTGACGAGGGACGGCGTACTGGTCGCGCAGCTCGGGCTGCGACTGCGACACCTCGTACTCGAGCGTGCGCCACTTGGCAAACATGCGCGGGTGGTAGTTGACCTTCCAGTCGCGGTGGTAGAAGTGGTGGAACGACCAGCTGCAGAGGGGCGCGAACAAGGAGCGAGTGAGCTTCGTCGCCCGAGTCGAGGGAAGGGGAGACGAGGGACGCACGGCTTGGTCTCGGCGGTAAAGTGGTACACGAACGCGTTCTCGATGAGCTTCTTGCCGATGGCGAAGCCCTTGAGCTTGGCGGGCACGTTGTACGCCGGCCCGATGACGCCGAGGCCCGTCGTGGTGCGGTTCGAGAAGTACCAGTTGAGGAAGCCCTGGTCGCCGCGGTTGTACGACGGCGCCGTCAGGTACGTGTCCATCATGTCGTTGAAGGTCGCCTCGGACGGCTTGAAGACGAGAACTGCAGGACAGAGGGCGAGGTCAGCGACGTACGCGGCTGCGAGAGGGAGGAAGATGCGGACGGACCGCCCGTGTTGTACACGTCGCCGATGTCCTTGACGCCGGCAAAGACTGTCTCGGTCGAGAACAGGTGGTCGATGTTCTGCAGGGCCGGGTGCGAGTGAGCTCTTGGCGACGCGAGCGAGGGAGAGTGAGAGAGGGGGCGCACCTTGACCACGGCCGTGTCGACGTCGAGGTAGATCATGCTCTTGAACTGGGTCTGGGCCCACAGGTGGAGCTTGCTGTACCGGCACTGCTTGTTGATGCCGAGCTCGAGCTTGACCTTGCCCTCGTACGGGTACGCGAGTTGGTCGACCGCGATCACGTCGTCGGCGAGGAGGCGCAGGTCCTGCCGTGCGGCCTCGGAGACATGCGGGAGGGCGAGGACGACGATCGGGTGAGGGGTGCCGGTCTGGCGCAACGAGTAGATGAGCACTTGCAGTGCAGGAAGCTGCAATCGCACGAGGCGAGGAAGGGGGAGGGTCAGCTCCGAGTCGTGGTCCAACGACGATGAGGGGGGCTCGCTCGCTCGAGGGAGAGAGAGAGGCGGGACGCACAAGCTCGTCGTCGCACAGGAGCGCTGCATAGCCACACTTGTCCGGGTTCTGCTCGCAGTACGGGTCGTACGAGAGCTGGTCGTCGTCCGAGCCGGTGCCGCCGCCGACGGCCGACGAGCTCGTGCCGAGCATGGCGAGCTGTGCCGGCTGCACCGAGTTGGACCGAGGGGCGAGGTGTCGCTGGAGCGACTGGTGGACATCGTGCCACGGAATGAAGGCGAGGGCGAGGGCGCCAACAACAAAGTAGACGATGCGCACTCGGCGCAGCTTCTGCTGGAGAGTCGACATGGGGCTGCGGCGTTGGTCACGAGAGGCCCGGGGCTGTCGACCAGAGAGGGAGCGAGATGCCGTGATGGTGGTGGTGGAACGAGGGGCGAAGGTGCGAGGCGGCGAAAGAGGAGGGGAAAGAGACGAGGGAGGAGGAGGACGAGCTACGAGGTGAGAAGGGCCGGAAGCCGCGACGCACGCGTACGGACGCCCGCAGACACGGGCGCGCTCCGTCCCTCGCTCGCGTGAACGAGCTTTCGTGCGCTTCCCCCGCTTCCCCGGCGATACCGCCGCGGAGAGTCTCACCGTCGAGCGGAGCTTGCGGTCGACCGAAGCCGCAGCGCTTTCCCCATCAGGGCACGCCTCGTACTCGCGCGTTCTTCTCGGCGAACTGTCGATCTTGGCCACGCAGTCCTCGCGCGGGACGGCGACGAGATCAGGGCTTGCATGTCGGACCGTCTCGCCTCCTGTCCTCCTCAGCTGCAGGTGATCTCGCCAGCTCGCGTGCGCTCTGCTCGCCCTCCCACGGTTCAGGGCTTGCTCGCTCTCGAAGGCGATCACTCGCTCGCGCTCACCGAATTTCCTCGAGAACACGCTCGGCGCTCGCGGTCGGGCCTCGCCCGGTCAGGGTCGAGCTTTCGGCCCCTGCCCGCTCGACGCTCGGGCCTGCACGACGCTGCTTCGTGGGCATCGCTCGCCGTCGTCCTTGGCGAGGGCAGAGAGGGGCGGCTGCTGCCGACGACGAGGCTCGTGCACGGCGCCGGCGAGCGCTGCGCCGCTGCTGCTTCGAGGGCCGGCGCGTGCACGGACCCTGCTTGTTGCCCTTGCGCTCTCGCCGTCGCCTCGACGGCTCGCTACACACGCTCGACGCTCTGACCTTGCGGGCAACGTCGGCAAGGCGCGCACGCGGCTTGTCCCCCTCCGCCGCGTCGTCCAGCAGTGAGCGTCAGACTCCGAGCGAGCTTCGCTTCGTCGCTCGACGCATTTCTCGGGCTCTCGCACCGACGCTCGCTTCCTTGCATACCTCGTCCCCCACGACGCAATGGACAGCCCGCTCGTTGAGAGAACTGAGTCCTGCTCGTCCCGAATGAACGACGCTCGCCGTGTTTCCAGGAGCATCTCGCTTTCCGTCCGCAACTCGCGCCTCCCGCCCTCGGCGTCGCAGGGCGCAAGGCGAGGCACGACGAGCCGTCGACGACGGGACGGACGTGCGGTTGCGCTAGGAGCGAGCGCAAGAGCGACGGCGGACAAGCGCAGAGGAGGGCGGACAGGACGACCGCTCGGACCCTCGCGTGCTCGCTGGCTCGTCGCGGCTGTCCGCCCGGCGACGCACGCAGCGCTAGCGTGCACCGCTGGCGACGCATGCTACCGCTGGTTCGGACGACGACCAGAGCTCTGGTCGTCCGAGCGAGCGGCACAGCGGAAATCCGTCTGCGCGAGCGACGACTTGGAGCGACGCCTCGGAGCGGCGGAGGACGACCGTGGGGCTAACGCGCGAAGCGGGGGCGCAGCTTCGTGCTTTCCTGGGAGAACGCTCACGCGTGCTCGTGCAGGATCGCCTTCCCTGCTTCGCCGAAGCAGCGTGCTGGCCCGCTCGACCCTCGCGCGGGTCGACGTTCGGTTCCGGCGGACAACGAGGGCAGGAGCGAGCGAGAACGGGTCGCCAAGGACGATCGAGCGACGGTAAAGACGGGGACGGGAAAACCGACCCACGCGAGCGTGTCAGGCCGAGATTTCGAAAACGGCGAGGCGAGCGAGCCGCGCCCACCGGAAGTCCGGGTCGACCCACAGTGCGAGTGTGCGACTCGCACCTCCTCGAAGAGGTCCATGGTCCACGCTCTGCTCTCGTACTGTCGCTCGCCCGGTCCACCAACTGCTCAAGCCATCGCAAGCCGGTCCCGCGTCGGCCTCAGCTTCATCTCCACCTCGTCGACCCGTCGACCTTCTGTCGCCTCTCGACCCGTCCGAGTCCCGTTCGCGCCTGCAAGCATCCCCTGAGCACACCCCGAGTCCGTCCACCTCTCCCTGTCCCCTCGCGCGCCCCCCACAGCCCGCTGACGAGGCCGTCCTCCCCCGCAGCCGACCCTCGTCGCCTCGCCCACCTGCCGCACAAGATGGCGTCCAGCACCAGCACGACCTCGCCTGCGACCCCGACCCACGAGTCGTCGGTGCCCCTCCTGTCCGCGCACTCGACCGAGCACTCGACCGCCTCGACCTCGACAGCCAAGGCCCCGGTCACCGGCTCGTACTTCCCGCCCGTCCACACCATGGTGACGCCCGACGCGCGGCACACTCGACCGTCGGGCCTGTACATGCCCGTCGACCAGTCGGCCGGCCCCTCGTCGCCCACCCTGTCCTCGTCCTCGTCGTCGCCCTTGTCGTCCGGCGCCGACTCGCCCGTCTGGCCGTTCGGAGCCCACGGCGCACGTGGCGGGTCGCGCTCGCCCGGAACCCCGACCACGCCCCTCAGCCCGTCCGAGATCAACCCGGCGTATGGCGGCAGCCCGACCATCGCGTCCCAGTTCCGCCTGCCGCCGTTCGTCGACGCGACCAAGCCGCAGCTCCTGCACTCGTCGATCGACGTCGCGAGCGACGACTCGCGCGCACCGCCGGCGTACTCGGCCGGCGGCGACCGTCACCACGTCGGCCCGCGAGGACGCGGCCACCCGCACCCGAAGCACGCCCTCATGCTCCTGTCGCGCCCGCTCGAGGCGCCGCCGACCCTCGCCCAGCGCCTCGACTCGCCGCACGCGTGGCTCGCGCTGTACTTTGCGTTCAACCTCGGCCTCACCCTCTTCAACAAGCTCGTCCTGCAAGGGTTCCCGTTCCCGTGGACGTTGACGGCGATCCAGATGCTCGCCGGCACCATCGGGACCCAGGTCCTCCTGAGCCGCGGCGTGTTCACCCAGGCGCGCCTCACGAGCCGCGAGAACGTCATCATGTTCGCCTTTAGCGGCCTGTACACGATCAACATCGCCGTCAGCAACCTCAGCCTGCACCTCGTCTCGGTCCCCGTGCGCCCACCTCTCTCCCTCTCTCTCTCTCTCTCCCACGTCCGCGCAATCACTGACCCACTCTCACACAGTTCCACCAGGTCGTGCGCGCCATGACGCCCCTGTTCACCATCGCCATGACGGTCACGCTCTTCCGCCAGCGGTACTCGCGCCAGACGTACCTCGCGCTCGTGCCCGTCGTCGCCGGCGTCGCGTTCGCGACCTACGGCGACTACTCGTTCACGCCGTGGGGCTTCTTTCTCACCCTCCTCGGCACCTTCCTCGCCGCGGTCAAGGGCATCGTCACGAACCGGGTCCAGGTCGGGCGCCTCAAGCTCCACCCGCTCGACCTCCTCGTGCGCATGAGCCCGCTCGCCTTCATCCAGTGTGTCTTCTTTGGGTGGGCGAGCGGCGAGCTCGACCGCGTGAGCGAGTACGCGACGACCGAGATGACGCAGAGCAAGGCGCTCGCGCTCGCGCTCAACGGCGCCATCGCCTTTGGACTTAACGTCGTGTCGTTCACGGCCAACAAGCGCTCCGGCCCGCTCACCATGACCGTTGCAGATGAGTCCTCTCTCTCCCTCTCGCGGCCTGAACGAGCACAGCCTGACATGCCCCTCGCTCCTCCACCCAACGTCAAGCAGGTCCTCACGATCGTCCTCGCCGTCCTCATCTTCAAGGTCGTCCTCAACCCGACCAACCTCGTCGGCATCTCGCTCACGCTCGCCGGTGGCGCCTGTGCGTCCCCCCTTCTCTCTCTCTCTACCCCCTCCTCTCTCTCCTCTCTCTCCTCTCTCGCGGTTTCGGAGCGACGAGCTGACCCCATGTCTCGGACAGGGTACGCCAAGGTCGAGCTGCAGGAGAAGGCGGCGCGCTCGGCGGCGGCGGCAGAGGCGGCGCTCGCGCTCGCCGGCGACGAGAAGTGCTGAGGCGCTCCTCCTTCGCCGGCGGTGTCGGCTGTCGTCGCGCTCGAGCGGGCCGAGGACACTGTATTTCTCTGGCTGTACTGCTTTGTTCTAGATTGATCTGCATCGGCTGGGGGCGTTTTGCGACCAAGTCCTGGCGTCGAGCGAGAGCGAGAGTGCGAAACGAGCTGGGAGAGGACCGAGCGCGCCGGCCTCGCGAGCCCCTCGTCGCCTCGTGCGGCGGTAACTGCAGCAGCCCGTGCTCTGCACGGCTGAGACGCACGCAGGTGACGTGGCACGGCGAGCGGCAACCTCGAGAGAAGGAGAGAGCGAGCGAGCCGACCCGACTTGGACCTTCTCAAACCGAGAGCCGGGCGCCTATCTGCCTCGCGCTCTCCCAGGTCTCTCTACCAGACTCACATGCGCCTCGGACCAACGAGTACATTCGCCCCAGCTCACCCCGCCCTGCTGCACCTCGCTCATCGCGCCGCACCGCGCCGCGCTCAGCCCGCCCCACCTCCTCTCGCCGCTCGCCCTCGATCCTCCCCGCCCTCGCCCTCGCCCTCGCCCTCGCCCGGCGCCGCCCCCGCAACGAGCTCGTACCCCTCGCCCGGCGGCCCACCTCGGGCGGGCCGCCGCGGGCGCTTGCGCGTCAGGACGAGCCACACGGCGCACCCGAGCGCGAGCGCGGCAGCTGCCGCTGCGCCGAGGGCCCTTGCCGCGCACGCGACGCACACGGCGTCGTCAAGGTGCCCGACGACGGCGGTGGTGGTGCCGAGGTCGGACGACGAGGGCGGCGAGGCGGCGAGGGGCGACGGGCAGAGGGCCGTGAGGAGGACGTCGGCTTGCTCCTCGGCGAGGGCGAGGTCGTAGTGGAGGCCGTCGGGCGTGTTGGCCGACAGGTTGGCGATCATGGCGTTGAAGACGGAGCCTGGGGTGGCGGGGCTTCGAGAGTCAGGTGCTGCCGCGAGGGAGAAAGAGAGAGGGAGAGGGGGAGCGCGCAGGACGCACCGACGATGACGCGCGTGCGAGCCCTCGCGCCCTCGTTTGCCTTCCACCTCACCACCTCCTCCCTGAGCCACTCGTTGGCGCGATCGACCTCGTGCGCCGGGTGCCACCCGCCCTTGTCCTTGCTCTGCACGGGCCGCTCGACCTCGGCGAGGACAAGCGCGGTGCGGGCGAGGCGCAGGCGCACGGCGAGCGCGAGGACGGCGCGCACGTCGCGCTCGTACGCGGGGAGGAGCGCGTGAGGGTACATGCCTGGGCGCGGGTCGATGTACCACAGGCCGAGGGAGAAGAGGAGGAGGGCTGGGGGGCGAGAGCGGGAGAGGGGAGAGGGAGAGGGAGAGGAAGAGGGAGAGGCGGGGGCGGGGGCGGGAGAGAGGAGCGGCACGAGGCGGCCGGTCGAGAGGAAGGGGCGGAAGGACGAGTACGAGTTGGAGCCGAGGACGGGGTCCCACCGGAACTCGAACGTCGCGTTGCGGTCGCCGCCTTTGTCGTTTGGCGGCGCAAAGGAGAGGACGCGGTTGGCGTGCTTGTCGGTGACGGCTGTCGGCTCGAGCTTGTTGATGAGGCTGCGGCGCGAGAGAGAGAGAGAGAGAGAGGATGAGCTCGTGGCTCGAGGAAAGGCGAGAGGAGGGGGGCGCACCCGTAGTAGAGGACGCGGGCGGTCGAGTCGCCCCAGATGGTGACAGTCTCGCCGGCGAGGCAGTCGAGGATGTCGTTGCGCGACAGGCGGACGAGCGGCGCGGCGGTCGAGGCGTTCGAGTCCGAGTCCGAGTCGACGAGCCAGCGGTGCTCGTTGCGGCGAAAGGTGGTCGACTCGTCGTCCGAGGGCATCCACGTTGAGGACGCATTGCGCGTGTCGACCCAGTGGCCGTGCGACGAGAAGAGGGCGGCGAGCGGGTCCGACTCGGTGCGGCGGCGGCGGGAGGTGGAGGTCGACGAGGACGAGGGGAGCGCGAGGGCCGACAGCGTGCAGGCCGCGGCACAGAGAGCTAGCACTAGACTGTGCATGGCTGCATGGCACTCGAGCACAGGTTCGAGCTGAACGACGACAAGAACACGAGCCTTCTGTCCTTCATCACCTCGCTGGTCCTTCCCACACTCGCCCGCTCGCCGTCACCGCGCAGGGCCTGCTCTTGCTGCGCCAGTAGGACTCTCTCGCGGTCCAGCTGCCGCCACAAGCTCGCGCGCACCCCCTCGTCGGCTGCCGTCGCCGCCGAGCCCCCACCTCCGCTCGGCCGAACCCTCCCTCGTCCAGGCTCGGACCCGGCCAGCACGCCCCGCCATGACGACCAAGCGACCCGCCCCCTCGTCCTTCGCCGCCTCGAACGCGCCCACCAAGCGCGCCGCCCCCTCGACCACCCTCACCTCCTTCTTCCCCTCGTCGACCGGTCCCGCGCGCCCTCCCCAACCCGTCGTCGCCTCGGACCCCATCACCGACCGCAGCTCGACGTTCGTCGCGCACGCCGCACCCTGCACCAACCACGTCCAGGCCGCGACCCTGCACGCCCACGTGCGCGCGCTGCGCACCCCGAGCCACCCGGTCGAGTGCTCGCACGAGGTGCTCGCGTGGCGGTGCTTGGGCCTCAGGCCGGGACGCACCGGGCTCGAGGGCGAGGACGACTGGAGGGTCGAGGGGGGCGCCGACGACGATGGCGAGAAGGGCGCGGGCGCGGTCGTGCGCGAGGTGCTCGACCGAGAGGGGGGAGTCGACGTCGCCATCGTCGTTTCGAGGCTGTACGGAGGTGCGCTCCTCCACTCTCTCTCTCTCTCTCTCTCGCCTCGATCACGTACAGTGACTAACATCCCTCTCTCCTTCCCCTGCGCCCCGTCGCCCCCTCGTCCTTTCCTCTCCCTCGCCCCTCCTCTCCTCGCCCCGCTCGTCCCGCCCGCCCCGCCCCGCCCCACCCAGGCATCATGCTCGGCCCCGCGCGCTTCACCCACATCCTCACCGTCGCCTCGCAGGCACTCGCCCGCCTCCTTGCACAACTGCGCCTCGCGGCCCTCGAGAAACAGCTGCGCGACCTCGATGCGCAGATCGCCTCCTTTTCGACCGCCTCCTCGTCCTCCTCCTTGCCCTC